TGATGATAGCTAAGTTGGTGAACATGGTGATCTAACAAGAAAAAATGGTGGTTTTAATGATAGCTTAGGTGATTCAACCAGGAAAAATATATGGAACATATGGAAAAATGATGGTTTTATTGTAATGGGATTGATGATAGCTAAGTTGGTTCATAACTTCAATAACTATGGTTCATGATACGCAAATAACTATAGTATTCATGGGGTTTATAAACCAACTAGCATAACTGGGGGGCCCCACATTGTACCATAAAAAATGGATCACTAGATTGGTTGAAGGATGTTGAAAGGAAAATCTTGACTGGAAACCATGGTTTTCCCCATGAAAAAAAAGGGAGCGTGTCAAATTTTCCCTGAATGAAGCTTTTCATCAGGTTCAGTTCCAGGCATTGAAAACTGTGTGGTCTAAAATCGGGAAATCACCAGGTAAAGCGGCTCAGAAATGTTCCATTGAAGCAATACATCTGGGTAAATTATAACCAGCTCACTGCGACCTCACTGGGAATGGTGGTTTGTAGGGGTGACTATCCCCAAATGACCTTATTTCAGGTTAGTGAGTTATTATAATTCACCCAGAATACTTTGAGTAGTAGCTTGACTTGTTTGCGCTGCACATTGGTGGAAAGTCAACTGACGATGTTTTTTCAGCGTAGCTAAGGGTACGTTAGCCCGGTGTCATGGTCAAAAATAAAATAGGTAGATAGGATTCAAAACCAGGAAATCATGCACTTAAATTTATGTAAGAGATCCTGGAAATAGGTGTTCATTTGTTGTGCTGGGCCCTAACAAAGATTAGGAAAATCAAAGACATTCAATAGCTGTAGTGGGGATGTATTGGCTGACTAAAACTACTAGTTGTGTTTGTGGGAGTAGTACAATGTGGGGCCCCCCAGTTATGTTAGTTGGTTTATAAACCCCATAAACATATAAACTATAGTGTATCATAAACTATAGCTGTTGGAGTTATGAACCAACTTAACTATCTAGGGGGGCCCACATAGGAAGTGGAATACCTGCATAAGCAGAATTCAGAATAGTGTCGGGCTGAAACAGACAAGAAGCCAATAGGAGTGCTTTGGATCCACGCTGCAAGAAATGTTGATGTCCATCCAAAAGCAGCAATGCTGACTCGACTTACAGCTCCAACAGCCATCTTCGGTCTGGTGGAGCAAATGCAACTGCTCGCGACGAGCTTAACCCAATACTTCAGGCAATTCATCTCACATATTTTTGGTGCAATTGGGGCAGAGTATCGATTTGGTGAAGAACATTGCCTGGTTTTAATACCCAGTAGATCAAAGTGGCAAAACACGTTGATACGAGGCCGTCAGCTCTGCAGTCAATTCTTTGTTTTTGGAAGTCTCGCAGAACTGCTTCGTTTTTGATGTCGTCAACTTCGAATTTTGGAGGAAGTCTCGCAGAATTGCTTCGATTTGGACCTGTCAACTTCCACTTCTGAAAGAAGTCTTGCACGATTGCTTCCTCTCAGATAGATAGATCGATAGAAAGATGGATGGATGCAGATGGAGATAAAGATGGAGACAGAGATAGAGAGATACAAATAGAGAGAGGTAGAGAGATAGATAGATGGATGAATGGATGGATAGGGCGCTAGATAGAAGGAAAGAGAAGTAAATGAATAGATAGATGGAGAGAGAGATAGATAGATAGATGGATGGATGGATAGATAGATGGATGGATAGATAGATAGATCGATTCGATAGATAGCTTCGATAGATAGCTTCGATAGATGGATAGATAGAGATAGATAGATAGATAGATAGAGATAGATAGAGATAGATAGAGATAGATAGAGATAGATAGAGATAGATAGAGATAGATAGAGATAGATAGATAGATAGATAGAGATAGATAGAGATAGATAGAGATAGATAGAGATAGATAGAGATAGATAGAGATAGATAGAGATAGATAGAGATAGATAGAGATAGATAGAGATAGATAGAGATAGATAGATATAGATAAAGATAGATAGAGATAGATAGAGATAGATAGAGATAGATAGAGATAGATAGAGATAGATAGAGATAGATAGAGATAGATAGAGATAGATAGAGATAGATAGACATAGATAGACATAGATAGAGATAGATAGAGATAGATAGATCGATAGATCGATAGATAGATATAGATAGATATAGATAGATTTAGATAGATATAGATAGATATAGATAGATATAGATAGCTATAGATAGATATAGATAGATATAGATAGATAGATAGCTAGATAGATGGATGGATAGATAAATAGATAAATAGATATAGATAGAAAAATAGATAGAACAATAGATAGAAAAATAGATAGAAAGAACGATAAATAGATAGAAAGATAGATAGATAGATAGACAGATATAGATAGATATACATAGATTTAGATAGGAAAATAGATATAGATAAATATAGATAGATTTAGATAAATTTAGATAGATAAGATAGATATAGGTAGATAGATAAAGATAAAAATAGATAGGTATAGATAGATAAATATAGATAAAGATAGATAAGATAGATAAAGATAGATAAAAGTATAAAAAACTAGATAAATAGTGTTTCATATAGGTAAAGATAGATACATATAGATAAAAATAGATAAACATGGAAAACTAGATAAAGATAGATTAATATAGATTAAAAAAAATAGATAACAATAGAAAAAGATAGATAAATATAAGTAAAGATAGGTAACAATGGATAAAGACAGATAAGAATATATAACGTTATATAAAGATAGACAAATATAGATAAATATAGATACAGATAGATAAAGATAGATGAAGGTAGATAAAGATAGATAAATATAGACAAATATAGATAACAATTAATATAGGCAAATATAGATAACAATTGGTAAAGATATAAAAAAAACGATAGATGGATAGATGGGTAGGTGGATAGATGGATAGATGGATAGATAAGATAGATAGGATAGATAAGATAGATAAGATAGATAAGATAGATCAGATAGATCAGATAGATCAGATAGATAAGACAGATAAGATAGGCATGATACATAAGATACATAAGATAGATGATATATATATATATAGATAGAATATACACGATAGATAAGATAGATACGATGGACATATAAGATAGCTAAGATAGATAATATAGACAAGATAGATAAGATAGATGCCATAGAAAAGATAGATAAGATAAGATAATATAAGATAAGATAGATAGATAGATAGACAGATAGAGAAAGATAGAGAGATAGATAGAGATATAGACAGACAGACAGACAGACAGACAGATAGATAGATAGATAGATAGATAGGTAGATCGATAGAGAGACAGACAGACAGACAGACACATAGAGAGATCGATACATAGATCGATCGACCGATCGATAGATAGATAGATAGAGATAGATAGAGATAGATAGATAGATAGATAGATGGATAGATAGATAGATAGGTAGATAGAGAGACAGAGAGAGAGAGAGAGACACAGAGAGAGAGAGAGAGGCACAGAGAGAGAGAGAGAGAGAGACACAGAGAGAGAGACACAGAGAGAGAGACACAGAGAGAGAGACACAGAGAGAGACACAGAGAGAGACACAGAGAGAGACACAGAGAGAGACACAGAGAGAGACACAGAGAGAGACACAGAGAGAGACACAGAGAGAGACACAGAGAGAGACACAGAGAGAGACACAGAGAGAGACACAGAGAGAGACACAGATAGAGACACAGACCGAGACACAGACAGAGACAGAGACAGACAGAGACAGACACAGACAGACACAGACAGACACAGACAGACACAGACAGACAGACAGATCGATACATAGATCGATAGATAGATAGGTACTTAGGTAGGCAGGTAGATGTGTAGACAGACAGACAGACATACAGACAGACATACAGATAGATAGGTCGATAGATAGATAGGTCGCTAGTTTGATTGGTAGATAGGTAGATGGGTGGGTGCATAGATGCGGCCACCGCCTTGCGCGGTCCTATTGGTAATCCCCAAGTATTCTGAGAGGAAGATTATTCCTCCCTTCAGTTTCAGATGCTTTTAGGCATATGTCGTTGTCGCCATCAGGCTGCTCTGGTGCTCTTGGTTCAACATCAGGTGGTCAGAAACTCAGGAGGCGTTGGTGAGAGACTTTGTGGGACTTTCAACCCAAAGGACAGGGACATATGGGGATTTCTGTTGTCATGGCGGATCCCCAAGTCTCCATGGTTGTTTCAATACTAAAACGGTATCATTTTAGATGATTTGGGATCCTTCAGTTTGGGAAACCTCCACAGAACTTTAAAAACATGTATTTTTCCCTCCAGTGTTTAGCACCGCTTAAGATTGGTTCTATTCATTTTGGGGTCCCTTGCTGGAATGGAATATTAGGGAGATGGGATTACACATCCCTCCGTGCTGTGATGATTACATTGGATTATAATTATATTGGTGATGATCATCCATGAACCGGGAATCCCTATCAACCAACCAACCAACCAACCAACCAACCAACCACCCAACCAACCAACCAACCAACCAACCAGTATAAACGAATGACGTTGTGGGTTTGGAACACTGCTTAATTTGCGAAAAGGGCAATCAATCTCACCCCCACGGTAATTTGGTGCATGGCGATGGACAATCACCATGTTTAACAGGTAAATCATGGAACTGAAGGAACGATTTTCCACTGGAGGGTAAGCACTTCCAGTGATAAGTTCTATGGGGGGTGACGCCTTGGTGGTGAAGCGCTTGTGTGCTATATCGTTTACTTATGGTATGGATTGCCCTCAGATGGTTCTTGTCCATAGCTGTGTCAAATTCCCACTGATCATAGAATCATAGAATTGGATGATGGGACAATTTACAGGAAAACCCTATATTTGATGGTAAAAACAATGGTTTCCTGTAAATTTTCCCTTAAACCAATCCAGTGATAGAATATGTCGGGGGTTTTCTGTTGTAAACTGCTGGGTATACCATGGTATACCAACACTGTTCACCCAGAATGACTCATGCAGATTCATGCAGGTCATGCAGGGCCTTCTACCCCAAGTCTTGACAATGCCAAGGCGCCCAGCGAAGTGGAACTTTGGACATTGGCTCTTGCTCTGCCTGTCCAGGCTCATGGTCTTGTGGCACATCATATGGGACAAAAAACCTCAAAGGTCCATGAAGAACCCCTTACTCGAGAGGTCTTGCTAATATAGAGATTGCGCAAAACCATGAAACGCGATATAGCGAACTAAAGCAATAACTTTGGTTCATGACCGCCTTTGTGACCCTTAGTTTGGTCTTTTCTCATATGAAGTCTTTCGGGCAATAGATGCCAGGAAATATATATGGGATTTGACAAAGAAATTCTGGGAAATAGCATGTTAATCCCATGAAAAATGCATTTTTTCGGCCAAATACCATGTTAATCCCATGTTAAATTTGTTAACGACATGGGAATTTAGCACAAAATGGGGGGCCCCAAAACCATGGGTTTCAATACCAAAACTGTCTAATTTCGAATGATTTGGGGTACCTCTATGACTTAGGAAACCTCCGCTTAGGATTTTAGGGAATCAATATATCACTGGGAAAACCAGAGTAAAAATTCAGTCGGAAAACCGGGCCGCTGCCGAGGGCATTGCTTACGTTTCTGGGAAATGTGTGCAATCGTATAGCGGGAGAATGTGATATATAGATATTGTTAGGTTAGCAATATATTGATTATGTAGATCATTTCTGGTTGGTGGTTTGGAACATTTTTTATGTTCCATTTCATATATGCTATAATCCTTCCCATTGACGAACTCCATGATTTTTCAGAGGGGTAGGTCAACCACCAACCAGATTATGTAGATCGCTTATTTGAGAAGATAGTTGAACTGTTCAGGTTAAGCGGTGTACTTCGGATTGCTGAGGAAGATGATCATGGTTTGACGAGCCACCGGGCTGCTGCACTGTAATACTTGGTGGCTCATCCCACGGCTCGTAAGTGGGTTATAACCCCACTTATAAATGGGATAAGTAGGGTTAATCCACTTATAACTGGGGTTATAACCTACTTACTAAGTGGGATGAGCCACCAAGTACAGGACATTTGTAGCTTGCATGTTTCTCGTTTGCATGCCACAAGTGTTTGAAGAGGGCCACAAGGTGGTGCCCCCCGAGTGATGTCTGTTGGTTTATAAACCCCATGAAGTATGCGATAAACCCAAGTTAATAGAGTGATGTTCACCAACTTAAACCGTAAACCCGGGCTTTATCTTTTGGAGGGTTTGCATCTATTGATACCAGGCCCAGTCAGCACTCCACTGGGGAGACGAAAGCGAGATAGGCAGCGACAGCGATGACGAAATGACGCAAGACACTCCCATGGGACTCCCAGTTCAGCCTCGTGGGCCCTGAAGGAGCTGCACAGTCTTGACATGTGGCAGCCGTGAAAGCAGATGGAAAGTGGTATACCTGGTGTCGAATTAGCGATATGCAGATCAGAGAGGCTTGCCGCCGGCAGATCTAAATCATCGACACGGCAGTGGGGCAGGCCACGCTGTAAGACGCGTCAGTTATGTTTCAAGTTGCTTGACTAGTGCAGATGCTGAATACTGGAACAGCAGAGGATACCCTGCAAAAGGTATATTATTAGTTGTGTGATGCCATTTTTGAACATGTTGTCCAAAGAACTTTTGGCAGTATCTGGAATAAAGCTGATTTCCCGCTTGTGGCCCTTTGTCTGGCCGGAGGTAGCTGGAAGCTAGCCCTTTGTTTGGCCGGAGGTAGCTGGAAACTAGAAACAAAGGTGGCCCTGTGCCTGGCCAGAGGCAGTTGGAAACTAGAGAAACAAAGGCGGCCCTTTGCCTGGCTGGAGGTAGCCTGAAGCTAGAAACAAAGACGTCCCTTTGTGTGGCAGGAGGTAGCTGGAAGCTTGAAACATAGGCGGCCCTTTGTTTGGCCGGGGTTAGAAGCCGCAGTTAGCTAGAAAAGATTAACAAAGGCGGCCCTTTAAAGTTAAAAGAGGTGCCTTTGTTGGTCTAAAGCTGAGCTGATTAGAGACCCAATAGAAACAAAGGTGACCCTTTATTTAAACAAAGGGACTGCCTTTACTTCCTAGCCTTGTCTGCGTTTTTCCTTGTCGCGCTTACGGCCCGGGGTTTTACCGTGGTTTGGGACCTCACTCCGGCGTCACTGGAAATGACGGTTGGCACTGGAAACTGTACGCAAGCATCAAATGGCCTTAGGGTTTCGAAATATTACAATTCACCCAAACTATTACTAGTGGACGGTGATATCATTCACGATTACATGTATATTAAAATAACATTTTAATATTGTATAATTACATAGTCGAAACCATGTTAGGGGAGGTAGCTATATAACTGCGACGCATTCACATGGGGATAGATATTGTGATATGTGCATTCCCAATCTATCACCAGATGATCCACCATGATGAAATATGTCACCATGCATAAGTATATGTATATGCGCCACAGTCAAAACATGGATACATTAATCATATTGGGCGATGCTCATAAATCCACTAATAGGTATCTGTAATGTCCCTTATCATTGGGTTTTCCATAATGGAAAGGAAGACCTTACCCGATATACCGAATTTTGTCCTTGACTATGAAGTAGCTTCATTATCCATATCATGTAGCCCATTGAATCCGTAAAGCCATGCTCGTAACATGTGCATTCCCATGAATAGACGATCAAACCAGTAGTGCCTGCCCTTGACGAAGCCTGTGGCGATTTCGCGGCCAGGAATGCTTGCGCGCAGCGGCAGAAGAGCCAAGGAATGATTGGTTGGTGGAGGCTGGGAAGCAATTGAACATCCCCTACAAGGTGGTCCCCCCCAGTTAAGACGTGGTTTTCATATATCCCATTCAGTATAGGTACGTCTAATAAACCATAAACCATAAATAGATATAGTATGATATAGTTATAAACCAATTTAGGTATCTATATTGGGCACCACCTTGTGCGAATGGAGGTTTGGGAAAGTCATCAACAACTCAGAGATTTTCCAGCAAACCATGTTGATTCCAAGAGGGTAAGCACCAGATTAGTAATTCGGGTTCTATAGAGTTCAAAAGGTAAGATATGTCATTGGATTGCTCAGGGTTCAGGAATCATCCAGGTCCACCCCGAATTTACTCTAGTAAGTCCCTCAACCCAATTAGTGCTCAAGTATGTTGGACCCAATCTATATGGAAGCGAGGAACTTCGCCACCTCTCCGGGCACACAGACGTTCCTCCTTTTTGAAAGCGTCTGCCATCTTGAGTGATTTTTTGGGGCCTATCTTAAGGGGGATAAATGACGATGCCAAAACTCTCCCCGATGCAAAAACTCGGTGTGCAAGGGGATTCAGAAACTCCGAGCTGACCCGATTCAGAAACGATTCAGAAACTCTTGACTTTGCAATCCCAATGCAGGTCGTAGATTGGAAGGGGCCATACTTACCCATAATACGCATGCTATACCACTGGCCCAAATCTTCAGAATGAATGGCATGCAAACTCATCTCGAATTACATTTTCTAAAGCACAACAAGATTGAGCTCGTGACAGAATGTTGATATGTTATAGTTGTGTCCCGGTATTGACTACTCCGGTTGGCATGTGTTTTTGGGTGCTTGAATGATGCCTCCGGCAACAGTCAGTGCTTTCCCGTTGAATTTTCACGATATGTGCAACATTGCATCGCAAATGGTCGGAAAGTGGGGGAGGCTGTGGAGGCGTGCAATTCAGTGACTACATTGCTGCCTGCATTCAGTTCTCGTTTGCTCTTCCTACTCTCGATTTTTGTTCTCTACATACTGGGATTGAAAGAAGGATACCAAAATTGGGCTTTGCAAGCTGTCTCACCTATAGTGGAGGATGTGATGGCAAATGGAATCGAGGAAGACTTGTAACAGGAGGTCCCCTTGCGCACTCAGGTGGTCCCTCCTCACTCCAGCCAATGCGAGTGCCAGTCTTCCGGATTGGGTGTGCCAAGATGAACCTTTGTGGTTTATTCAAACAAGCTTCCTCTAAGGACCATCCACAACACCATTCTTGCACGGCAGGTTGTTCTCGAAAGCCTGCCTATAATTTGGTTGTGGCTAATGGAGATGAAGGGGGCGTGAGTTCACCCAGGTTTTTTTAACCGACAACCCAGGCCTTGGGGACAAATTCGATGGCGCTATTCAGTACCTACCATACATCCCCCGAGGGGTCTTCTATTACCATCTGGTTATTTAACATTGCCATGGAAAATGGCCCATTTATAGATGGTTTACCTATTAAAAATGGTGATTTTCCATGGCTATGTTAAATAATCAGATGGTGCAGGGTGCTTTAGATTTTAACAGAACCTGCTGGAAACTCAAAAGATCTCAACAGCCACCACCTGGCCACCCAGAAACTTACCGGAATCTGACATGACAAGTTTTTTTCGCCTTTCAGAGTCATGTTACTGCCACAGCCATTTGGAACGGCCCTAGCTTCAGAAGATACGGAAGCCTTGGTGCCTGCAGACACCATGTTTATCCATTTTTCTCATGTACAAAAGGTCATTCAAAGGCATGTCATTCAGCCTTCTCACCTATTGTTGTTATAGAGGCTGACCAAAAGATGAATAATCAAACCGTGCATGAAATATGTTTTGCCCCCCTGGGAAAAAACATGTGAACATTTTGGGCCCTAGGAAGTACGACAACACAATCTAAAATGTATAATGAAACAGCGCATGCCTTTCATCATGGCCCACCTCTCCCCAGAGACAAGGGAGCTGCGGTGAACTTTGCAGCTCTTGGGGTGGGTGAAAGGACTACATGGGGTTGCAAACATGCAGGTATTTACTAGCGGGTTGCCAACCCAGATTTGCTGTTTATTCTAAAATTAAGCAAAACCAAAATGGACGCTGCGGGGGACACGTACTACTTACTACCTAAGAATGCGTTAGCCCATTCATGACCAATTCTCACAATGCAGCTAGCCAAATTGTGAAATCATTATTATCAGTTATTGTTATGCACATGGGTGAACAAGACGACAACGACAACGACAAAAACAACAACAACAACAACAACCCTTGTCACATCCTGTGTTTTAATGGTTGGGATGCAAAGTGCTGCCAAATACTGCCAACTTTCGGAGGCTCACCGCGAGAATTTGGCATTCCAGCAGTATTCTGGCTGTATTCTGCAGTATTCGGTAAGTTTCTGGCAGTATTCGGTAAGTTTCTGGCATCAGTCTGCACAGTTTCCACCCAAATGCCTACCCTAAACTTGGTGTATGTACCACAAGTTTCTTCAAGTTTCTTGGGCGGAAGGAAACACAAAGTGCCTGAATAGTTTTTGTTCTGTGGTATACATTTCCCAAGTATTTGCGTAGCAAGGTTCTGGGTAGTGATTGTCATCCTGTCCAAATCAACACTTGCAGCATCACTGTCATGTTCCTCTTTGTCGTGGATATTTCTCTGACTGGGTGTGCTATTGTGTAGTGTGGCGGCTGAAGCAGAAATTATGTTAACGCAAGGGGGGCACCTATGACTGCTCAGCAAACCTCAATATTGATGAAATAAAGTACCCTTTTTGCTACTGCTTCTTGTTGTTTTTGTCCTTTCTACTCCTCTTTCACTTTTGTTTCTTTATGGAGCTAGTGCTGGAGTTACTCTTGGCAATAATCCTCATCCTTGTCATCCTCCTCCTTATCATCATCATCATCATCATCATCATCATCATCGTCACCATCGTCATCATCGTCATCATCGTCATCATCGTCATCATCGTCATTATCGTCATCATCGTCATCATCGTCATCATCATCTCCGTCAGGCCCCTGGAAGTGGAGGTGATGCAAGAAAAATACTGTCTCCATCAATGGGGTTGACCACATGATTGATATGCTTGCTTGCATGGGCTTTGAAACAGGGACAACCTCCTGGCCTGAAGACCTAACAAAACAACATTGAAACAGGACAACCTACTGACACTGGCTGCCAATGTAGCATCTGCTGGTACCCTGGGGGTGGTGTGCCTGGGCGAGCCCTCCTGCTGGGAATGGCTGGCAAACCTCTATCTAATTATCTAACTGGGCTGTCTTGAGCCTCCAAAAGACAAGTCCAGCCTCAACTTAAAAACACAACTCTAGCAAGAAACTGGACAGCTACTGCAGCAAACTTAAAAACACCTTATAAGAAATGACCCTAGGCGATTAGAAGACCTAGGAGTCATGGGATGATCCTCCAAACGGCAGGGTTGCAGATTCCACTTCGACCCCACCATCAATGATGCTTCGTTTTTGGGGGAATTGTCCTACTTGGTGGCTCTTAGTAAGTTTATAAGGCCCTAAGTGGATTGACCCTACTTATCCCACTTGTGACAGGGATGTAACCTACTTAGTGGGATGGACCACCAAGCATTATCGCACTATTCTCCATATTATATTCCTATTAATGAATCATATCATCAAAAATCCTCAAGTGTCTCTAGTGTATATCCCATTTATATATCCTCATTGCATCTCATTCTAGCCATCCCATTTATCTCATAATATCCCAACAGTATCCCAGCATATCCTATGAAATATCCCATACTGCTTGGTGGTTTGGTACATGTTTTATGAATTTTCAGAACCAGTTGGGAATGGAAAATCATCCCAACTGACGAACTCACTAACTCATATTTTTCAGAGGGGCAGGTTATACCACCAACCAGCATAAAATATTCCCCAAAAACACTATGAAAACCTAGAATCAATGGATTGGTTTAAGGGAAAACCTTAACCAGAAACCATGGTTTTTACCATCAAATATAGGGGGGGTTCCGGTTAAAATTTTCCCATCATCCAATTCTGTGATCGAACTTCTACCCCCATCAAACTCCCACCATTTCTGGCGACGTTTTCACCGACGCCAGGCGTACACCTTGATTGGCCGTGAAGATTTGGCCTTGATGGCACGACCCCCTCGTGAGGCCCGGGAAAAAGACGCAAGCCATGGAGGTGAACCTCTTGGAAACATAGAAAAATCCATCGAAAATCACCATTTGTCATGGGTAAACCATCTAGAAATGGGCCATTTTCATCCATTTTCCATAGTTATGTTAGTTTACCAAGAGGGTAATACTACTTAAGAACTACTTCTGGCAATTTTAAATGGATACCTTCTGGCAATTTAATATAAAATCGCCATAGAAATAGTGAATTGTCCCATGAATAGCATGATGATTTTCCATAGTTATGTAAATGTTTACCAGAGGGTAAATCAACGAACTAAATATGATTATCAACGGCCATGTTCAATACCTATATGGAGGTTTCCATGAATTGCACATAGTAATAAACCTAGTTATAGCCATAGTAAAAGCTGTAATAATCATACATTACGTACCATTCACCAGTTATTATCATACTGTAGCTCTGGTACACATACAAAAAACTATAGAACATCACCATTTTGAATAGGTAAATCAACGAACTAAATGTGGTATGTTCAATAGCAAACTGTTAAATAACGAACTATATCTAACCTATATGGAGGTGTCCTAAAATGAGGTACCCCAAGCTCGCTGGATGGTTTCTAATGGAAAATCTTAAAAATGAATGATTTGAGGGTAGCCACATTTTACGAAACCACCATATCTGGGAAACCAATCTTTCAGGCACCATGTCCATTCAGGGAACATATGGGAACATGAACTGAAGTTCTACAGAAATGCCCTTGTTGATTGCTTAGTCATCAGAATTATAATAGAAATTATCTACCAAAGTGGGAGACAAAGGCATTAACGGTAATGGTGCTTGATGGGATTCGAAGATTTGTTTACCATCATTGATACCTGGTTGGTGGTTTGGAACATGAAATTTATGACTTTCGATATTTTGGGTTTTATTTTTTCATTCAGTTGGGAATGTCATCATCCCAACTGACGAACTCATATTTTTCAGAGGGGTTGAAACCACCAACCAGATACGGATGTTCTGAAGATGTTATAATTCTTGGATGGTAAGGAAGTTCATTAGCCTTTAGGGGTAAACAAAGATGGTGAACCATGCTTCATGTACTTGGGGGTGCGGTTCATGTTGTAGATAAACCATACAATGTGGACCCCCCAGTTATAAATTGGTTGATAAACCCCATTAATTATAGTCAGTATCATAAACCATACTTATTGGAGTCATAAACCAACGTAACTATCTAGGGGGCCCCACATTGTAGGGTTTCTATTCCAGCTTATGGAGGTTATTAGCATGATTATACCCACCAGCATGAGCATTGCTGCACCCCTAAGTATGGAACATGCACAAGTTATGTCAACAAAGGTTAAATGCCAATCAGGCAGTGGTCCTAGAGTCAGGAAAACAACCTTTAATCAATCAGGGTCAATGGGTTACTGGTTATTGTAGCAACAAAGTTAGGGAAGTCCCCCACCGTTTATTACTCAGACGGGGACCTACCCATTTTAGTATTGCCAACACATTTTTCTTGTGTGGGGGTTCATTGATTCCTGGTGGATGATTATTCCTAACTTGGCATTACTGATACTAGCCAACTTATTGGGAATTATGATAACATATGATAACCCATAGGATTGGGAATCCATTTTCAACCAACTCGTATTTGGGTTTGTCTGAAAATAACGCACCCCAAAACCGGATTATCATCATGTTTCCTATTCAACTGGCCATAAACATCCATAACCTGGGTATCACCCATTTTCAGACACCCCCCATATTCATATGTTCCATTATTTTCCTATGATTTCCCCCGTAGTTTTCCATTAATCCCTCCACCATGTGGGGCCCTCAGTTATAAATTTGTTTATAAGCCCCATTAACTATAGCCATAAGTATGCTAAACCATACTTATTGGAGTTATAAACCAACTTAACTATCTAGTTGGAAAAGAACTTGGGGTCAAACCATCAATTATTTTTTGATCTGGTTAGTGTTTTCAAACATCTTTTATTTTCCATAATATATGGGATAATCCTTCCCATTGACTTTCATATTTTTCAAGATGGTTAAAACCACCAACCAGCTATAGTTGTTTGCATATCCAGAATCATAAACCATAGTAAACTTGGAGTTATTAACCAGCAACTGAACGCTATCATCAATCCCATTAAACCATATTAAACCACCATGTTTCTTCAGGATTTTCCTTCGATGACCCAATTGACCTGTCCCAGTGGGCTAGGTGTCAGGGCATGCGGCCGCATCGAGGCGGGTCATGGTTGGAGTTGGGTTCAGCCTGAAAAATGGGAGAATTATAGGGATTTCATAGGGATTTAATGGGATTTTATATGGATTTTATATGATTTTATGGGATTTTATATGATTTTATGGGATTTAATGGGATTTTATAGGGATTTAATGGGATTTAATAGGGATTTAATGGGATTTTAAAGGGATTTAATGGGATTTTAAAGGGATTTAATGGGATTTTAAAGGGATTTAATGGGATTGTATAGGGATTTAATGGGATTTTAAAGGGATTTAATGGGATTTTATTGGGATTCATAGGCCCAACCCATTTTCATAGGGTTTTTTTGAACTCCAGTAACGATATTTGTACAATGTGGGGCCCCCAGTTATAAATTGATTTACAAACCCCATGAATACTAAAATTATTTGTGTATCATACACCATAGTTATTGGATGTTATTAACCAACTTAGCGATTCTGTGGCCGTTTGGGGGGCCCTTTTGTGGCGATGCCCCATCCATGTTGTGAATCCCCTTATGGGATTGATCCAGTTGGAAGATGTGCAGAACCATTAATTCATGATTAATATCCCATTAGAAGTTGGATATATCCTGAATAAGACGGGATGTTAATGATGGGATGAATTACGTTGAAATATCTCACTATTTGATTATTGCTTAGTGTCCCACGAGGATGCTGTATATCTGTATGTTGTTTAGTAGTGAAATCAACCTGAATGGAATCGAACGCATTCTGGACGCCAACGTAGCCAGGCGCAGAGCTCGAGATCTCTTAGACGCCACAGAGGCAGGGCGATTGGAAAAGTGATCCTGAAAAGAGACCCCAAACAGTGTCGGGGGAGTAAAAAGATCATGTATTATGATGATAGTGATGATGTTGATGTTGCTGATGTTGCTGATGATGATGATGATGATGATGATGATGGTGATGGTGATGGTGATGTTGATGATGATGATGATGATGATGATGATGAGGATGATGATGGTGATGATGTTGATGATGATGATGAGGATGATGATGATGATGAGGATGATGAGGATGATGATAGTGACGGATGGTGATGATGGTGATGTTGTTGTTGATGATGATGATGATGATGACGATGATGACGGTAGTGATGACGATGATGATGATGATGATGATGATGATTTTTGATGATGATGGTGATTATGATGATGATTATGATGATGGACGGAAAGTGATGAGAGGAAGATGATGATGTTGAGGAGGCTGAGGTAGAGGAGGAAGGCCGATCCCAGCGTTTGTGCGAGCCTGCGCAGTCGAAATGCACATGGACATGTCAGAAGAGGCATGTAGTGCGGAAATTTACAGGGAAAATGCCAAACGCTTCCGATAGCACTTCGATTGAGCACCGGGCCTTAACACTTACCGCAAGAACCCCTGAGTGTGGCCACACGGTTTGGGGAACAAAACTGTGAAATGTTTGAGTTTTGCATGATATCGTTTTTTAAACTCGAGAAAGACGCACGATTTTCCCTATGAAAACGCAGGAAATTGCATGATTTGACTTATGAACATTAGGAACATCTACATGATTATTACCTACTGTTTGACAATTGGGATTTTACATTGTGATTTTAATATGTACTTATGAAGATTTGGATTTTACATGAGCCAGTAAACATGTCTAAAAATAACCGTATTGATTGACATGGGGGTCATACTATCTGGTTTACTGGGACCAATAATAGGGATACCCATTTGCCAATCGGTAAATATAATGGGATAACCTACCCTCCGCTAATCAGACATGGCTGGGAAACCCCTGAAGAAAAGGGTTAATTATTTAAGTGGAAAACGCTAGTTTATAACAGGGTTGCTCCAAATCAGCCACAATGGGGGTAAATCGGTAACTGTTCCTGCATATTGAGCAGATTGTTGCAGCCCCTTGTACCTAGGGTGTTTGGAGCAACACCTCTAAAAATATGGGGTTTTCCATTGCCATGTGACTGGTTCCCAGAGTGTCAGTGTTGGAACCCAACGGCTGGGCCCGAAACATCCAGGACTCAAATCGTCTTGTGGGGGACCATTTTTCAAGTGAGCTATTATAAAAATACCATGGTTGATTGGTTGTGAATAACAGACGATACTACCTGGTTTAATGGGGACTATGAACTAACCCATACTAGGGAAACCTATCGACCAACTAGTATTTCATGAGATTGGAAAAATGTGTATTTTCAATGGCTCAAGTGGTTTTTAGCATTCGTGAGTGGTAAAGAAGGGACCTCCCAAAACGATGGGTGATTTGGTAAAAATGAACAGGCGCACAAATGGATTTATGACCGGTACCCCCCTACATTGTGTGGCTCAATAAGACCTATTCGTCAAGGATGACAGCCAGTTGACGCTGAAGGGCTGGAATTACAAGACGCTGTACCATGAGATGGTGAAAGACTTGCATGACTCCTCACACTACTCCTTTGCCACAGTCCAACTAGCAGAAGGAGCGGGTGTCCACACGCCGCAGGCAACAAGTCAACAAAATTCAACACTTGCGACCGCAGCGCCAGAAAGTCAACCACTGGACAATGTCGAAAGATGACCGCGACCAGGCTGTTGACAAGAACAGCGCCCAGGCTCAGCCAGAGAAAGCAGTTCAAGACACGGACAATGTGAAAGGCGACCGATGCGGCCCTTGAAATTTATAAGCATGTTACCGTGTATGAACATGTTTACCAATTCCATAACTATGCTATATCCCATATTATATATTTTAATTGTAAACTGAAACTACATATCATAAAGGAACAAACTATCCCGTATCAGCCCATATCATATGCCAAGTGTTTGCGCGTTGGATACTCACAGATTTCCCCATATGAAGAAATCAGGTGCGTCTTGGCACGGTGGACCCGTTGAGTTCTTCCGAGTGGTGCGGGGCCTTTTTCTCTTGGCGGGCGCAGGGCGGGGGAATGGTCCTGCAATGCAGCATCATTAGAAATCTGCAGAATCTTTAGAAACTGGTGAGTAACCATAGTCATAGCCCAGTGATATATTCTACCAATCCAGAAGTGGTTAGGAACCATATTTCTAGCCTCGTTTTCAAAAATAACAATCTGCGGTCACCCTGGGGACGAATTTGATCGCTGAACAAAATTGGGTGAAATCCAAGGGGGAGAAACTGGTCAACAAGTGTGATGGTATTCAAATTATTATGTAATATGTTCTATTTGCTTGGTGGTTTGGAACATAAATTTTATTTTTCCATACATGGGAAATAATCACCCCAATTGTATTAATATATATATATAATTTAAATATATAATATTGATATAGTCAATATATATATATATTTATAATCTATATATATATAGTCTATATATATAATGTGTTTTGTTGTGTTTTTAAGAAAACCGATTGGGGGGCTTACCAACCACAACGCTTCTCAACCTCAAAGCCTTTGCTGTTGCTGGAACTCATCAGGTACTCAGTTGACAGTTGACAGGATTAAACCCATCCCCCTAATATTAAACACCCCCCACATGGTCTCAAATATGTGTACTGGTTCGTGGTTTGGAACATGAATTTCATTTTTCCGTATATGGGGAATTTCATCATCCCAACTGACGAACTCATATTTTTCAGAGGGGTAGGTATACCACCAACCAGTGTAAGTCTCCAGAAGGGACATGCTTGAAATGGGCTCATATCAAGGGGATGGGAGAAATTGCTGCAAAGGGTTGCTGAAACCTTAACTAAGGTCGTTAAAACAATGTCATAAACCACCCCATTTCTAATGGTTTATATCACCTATATATGGTGATTCGGGGGATGGTTATTTTTGTTTTAACCACACTACAGGGATCTATTGCCGGCATTGGCCAGAATGGCGTGCCAGTTCACATGTGTTGCCATGTGGTTTCTTGGAGCCTGTTCCATGGCAAAAACGCCTACATTGCGGACGCAGATATTAAATTTACCAAAAGTGCCTAGAAAAACGGGGCCGGTATATGTTTTTTCTTTTGGGTGGTTTTTATGAAAGGAACCGGAAAGGATTGGAGGTATATAGGATAAATCTGCGGGAAGAGTACAAGTGAGGTCATGCCAAAAAGCACTGGTGCAAACATGTGGGAAGGCTTTCGAACACGTGCTTGGACCGAGGGTAACTACCAGACAGTACAATTTAGCATATGCTTAGTTGCTGGTTTTACCTGATTGCTATAGGGGAAACATCCACAGGTGTTTCTGGAAACTGATCAGTTGCAATTCTTCGCAGCTGTTTTTTTCACCAAACGCCTGGATTTGATAAGTGGATGATTTGGATGATTTTCGCAATGGGAAATCCACTATTTACAGTGTGGAGCCCCCCCCAGTTATAAATTGGTTTATAAACCCCATTAACATCCATTAACTATTATAGTTAATTGCGTATCACAAACCATAGTAAAATTGGAGTTATGTTCACCAACTCAGCTACCGTAAACGGGGGCCCAACATTGCAGGGAATCTATAGAGAATCTGTTATAATATATAGGTGTATATATTTGGTGGATTCCTGAAGCAATCCAAGGATACATGACCAGCAATAAATTGCACCGAATTTTCTCGGGTTTTCTCGTTTCATGAATTTATACAATGTGGGGCCCCCAAACGATACTTTAAATTGGTGCAAGAAACTCCAATTTTACTATTCTTTACTATTCTTTATGATACGAAAATAACGAACTAATACTCATGGGGTTTCTGTTAACCAACTAAGATAACTGGGAAAACCCCACATTGTAGATCTTCCCACTTGTTGTCTTCCCATCAGTTTTCGATTGTTCCTCAATCTTTTCGGGTGACACCGGTGACACATTCGCGCCATGCGCGCGGCACCGGCACCGATGGCGGCGGAGTGGCGCTTTCGCGAGCTGGAACGAAGGCTGGCAGAAGTGGAGCGAGCGACTTGGCAGAAAATCCTGGAGTTGCAGTTATGGCCATTTATCAGTTATAAGTACTAACAAAACCCCATTTACAGAATGTATAATCCCATTTATAGCCAGTTATAACTGGTAAATGGCCATAACTGTGGGGAAAACCACAGGGTGGTGCCCCGGTGCCCCAGTTCGTGAACGCTAAGTTGGTGCAAATAAGTGCAATTTCACTATGGTTAAGTTGGTGATATATCGAACTTGTTAATGGGGATTAAAACCTATTTAATGCTAGGGGGCACCACCTTGCATATCCTGGCCTGATTTAAGTTTTTTTCAAATTTCCCAATGGACAATCTGGGAATCTAGAGTCTAATGAGTCTATAGGCCTAGAAGAATTTTGATTCAATTGGACATATGTATAGCCCAGTTGGATTAATGGGTTATTAATATGGGTTGTATATATAATACAGATATTCATATACATAGATAAGTGATAAACCACTTACCATTTGGGATTCACACTTGCTGAAGTATTGGAGATACTGGTTCAACCTTGGTGAAGGGGAATTGTACACCAAGCAATGATAGGGATATAACATGGTACTCGTATATGGTGGTTTCCTCAAATGGTGGATCCCCAAAACATTGGTTTTTTAATACTCAAATGGTCTAATTTTGGATGACTTGAAACATTTAATTTAGGAAACCTCCATATCGCAGCCCCCAAAAAAGATAGACAAACGTTTCCAGGATGGTGATGATATCTGGGAATTTCAGGATCCTAAAATGGAGGTACGTAAACGTACCATATTGTTGGCCATATGAATTGTGGGGATATCCCCTGAAATTGAGAACCTGAAAATAGGCCAAAAATATATGGAATCGGTATCTCCAATCAATCGGTTCCTTCTCGATGGCCAGTGATGTAATGGGATATTAATGTAAATTAAATGTTATATTATGGAAATGGGATAATTTTAAACTAATCAACCATTAATCATCAAACTATGGGTATGAATGCCTATCAACTTATGGCTATTCATGGGATATTCTCCTCAGAAATCCAGGTGTCCGTTTCGTTCATCGACCTGAATGGGGCTGTCCGGATTCTGCTGGGATTTTCAATAGGATGTTTCAATGGAATTGGTCATGGCTTCATGGCTTTCACCTATTAATGGTTAATTATGGTTAATACCCTCTGGTAAACTAACATAGCTATTGGAAATTGCCATTTATAGTGGATTTTCCCATCAAAAATGGTGATTTTCTATAGTTATGTTAGTTTACCAGAGGGTAGTGACATTGCTCGGTTAATAATGTTAATGATAGTTAATGATGGTTAATAAATGATGGTTAATGTCACCCATTAATGGTTAATAAATGATGGTTAATGATAGTTAATGAGGTGACATTGCTTGGTGGTTTGGAACTATGGAATTTTATGACTTTCCATATTTTGGATATGTCATCATCCCTACTGACGAACTCCATGATTTTTCAAAGGGGTAGGTATACCACCAACCAGACATTGTTTATTCGTTAATGGGGATAAATTCAACAACATGTCACTGATTTGTCGATGTTTGCCTAGCTGTGGTTCCATCTTCCGGAACAGGAACCATGGTGTCCAAAAAAGAAGCTTCGCTTCAATTCAACACGAAACCATATGCCATATGATGGTTTAATGTCTTAGGAACCATCGGGTTAAACCATCAACTGGCTTCATTTCATCAACATGTTGATGGTTAAACCCCATGTTATTCTCGGAAAATACCGAGTTATACCCATTCTTTGGATAAACAACAGTTTTCGAAGCCATAACGAAGCCATGCTCATCCTCTGGTAATGAAACGTGACGATGGACAATCCTCTGTGACGATGGAGGTTTGTAGCTGGAAAATCAGACATTGGATATGTCCAATTGCTATGTTTGATTACCGCAGGCTAACCAAGCACTCACTTGCGTATAAATGGCTTATAAGTTATTGACCTTAGTTACTTATCACTAATGGAATAACTACAATGTGGGGCCGCCCAGTTGTGTTAGTTGGTTAACAGAAACCCCATGAATACTAGTTCGTTATTTGCGTATCATAAACCATAATTACCATAATTATTCTAATTATCATAACCATAGTCATTAGTACTACTAGTTATTTGCGTATCGCAAACCATAGTTGCCCTAATTATTCTAATTATCATAACCATAGTCATTAATACTACTAGTTATTTGCGTATCATAAACCATAATTACCCTAATTATTCTAATTATCATAACCATAGTCATTAATACTACTAGTTATTTGCGTATCATAAACCATAATTATTCTATAGTCAAGATTATAGTTATTATAATTGCCATAATTACCATAATTGCCATCATTATTGCCATAATTGCCATTATAATTGCCATAATTATTTGCAGCAACTTAGCTATCGTAAGCGGGGTCCCCTTTTTGGTAGGATCATCATGAACCATTTCTGGGCAGGCCCTCGCTGACCTGAGCAATGCGGCACCGGCAGCTGTTCCAGGTGTGCGATGGTTGGCCCTCTGGTAAACTAACATAGAAAACCATGGAAAATCACCATTTTTAATAGGTAAACCATGGAAAATCACCATTTTTAATAGGTAAACCATGGAAAATCACAATCTTCAATAGGTAAGTCAACTATTTCGATTAGGGCCATGTTCACGTTCGCAAACTGTCAAATTACCAGAAGGTACCCTCTGTCATCAAAACGTGGCAAGCTAGGAACTGACCGAAGTCAATGGAAGTTTGTTGGAAAATTATGGAATATCATCGAATATTATTTGGTGGATTGTTCGCCAAAAATGTTTGATTACTGGATAAAACCATTTACCCTCTGGTAAATTAACAGTTGGACCCTGAAAATCACCAATTTATAGGGGAAACTAGTCCTCCAAACCCGTTTTCTGCCAGGGTCGTCATGTTAATTTTCCAGAGGGTAGTAACAATCAAACACTAGACAAACGACTTCATTTATTTAATGTCCATTATTGTTACTAGATTTCTAGAATTAGATTGTCATTACTCGAGGCTAACCATCGAAAAATGGGGGTTTAACGAACACCGAGAAAAGGCTTGGATTTGACCAGAAAGTGATGGGATTTTTTCGCGATGAAAATGATGGGGTTTCCAAGTTCTCCAAGGAAATTGTCAGCCAACTAAATATTGGTAAACATACAAAAAAACTATGGAAAATCACCATCTTTAATAGGCAAATCAACTATGAATGGACAATTTTCAATAGCTAACTGTTAAATTACCAAAGGGTAAATATTGGAGCACTAGTAGGACCAACTTCATGTTTGAGTATCTAATTGAATGATGTTGAATGTATTTTGTATTTCACGTAGCCCAAATACACTTGTGAAGGAAGGGACTGGCCGTCCCCCATTCTCAAAGGCATTTACATACCATTTTGTACCCATTGCTTTTGGATTCCCCATATGGCAAGGATTACCATACCGGAGATGCCATGTTTTGACCATGGCAGATACAACCAACACTTACGAAAAGGAATTTGGCATGGACAACCGACCAACACCGCCATCATTTGATGATGATGACGACGACGACGACGATGATGATGATGATGATGGCGATTCAACTTTTTGCGAACAGGTTTTCGAACAGATTCCCAACATTTACCCTCTGGTGAACTAACATAGCAATTGAAAATGGCCATTAATAGTGGATTTTCCCATTAAAAATTGTGATTTTCCATTGCTATGTTAGTTCACCAGAGGGTAAAAATTTATCGTATCCTAAAAGGTGGTGCCCTGAAGGCTATGTTGCTATGTTTGTTGGTTAAAGCTACCACCATGAACTACCGATACATCCACCACAATTCGTAGTTAGCCGAGTTATAAACCAACTTACAGTATTCAACTCAATTCCATTAAATCCCACTATATCTCATTAAATCACGATTAAATCCCCAACTAAATCACCATTATTGCTACATATTGCTACCAAACCACCAACTTAGCGATGCCAAACGCACCACCGAAGACACCGAAGAGGCTTTCCCACGATCACGAAGACAAAGAGCAAGCTCATGGACGACGTGCGCCGCCGTTTGGGAGAGTCCACAGCCGGGGGATTTAGTGGGAATAACCCCATCAACCATAAACATGTAGTAACTAAACCATAAACCACCCATTCTGGTTGGTGGTTTGGAACATGAATTTTATGAGTTTCCATATATTGGGAATAATCATCCCAACTGACTTTCATATTTTTCAGAGGGGTAGGTATACCACCAACCAGGATAAACAATGCCATAAACCATCCATTTGGGAATGGTTTATACCACCTATTTATCTATTTTTGGTGATTTGGGGGGTAAAAATATGGAATTCCTCAAATGGAGGTTTTATTGGGAAAATGAATGAAGATTTTTGATCATGACCTCCTGTCGTGATGGCATGATGGTTAGGATTGGGGGAATATTCCCGAAAAGGCCGCAAGTTTCAGCTATTTTCAAGTCGAATGTGTGCTCTCTTGGCCCGTCGGCAGGGAGGGTGCACTCTTGGGAGCAAGTGAACAGCTATTTTCAAATTGCTGAATTATTTTCATTCAGCCAGATATAATGGGAACATATGGGAATACAATGGAAATTGATCACCAAACTGATAGGATATGTAGGTTTGTCTGAACATGATGGGAAAACTTGCCCCATCGAAGTTGCGACAAAATCTGTGATTTCCAGAGAAACCTCAGCCTGTGGGTAAAGTTTTTTTCAGCCTGGGAGTCACTGATCAACCGTATCCCCTGATGTTTGATCGCCAAACTTAACCATACTTGGTGGCGAACTACCCACGGCTCGTAAGTGGGTTAGTTCACCCCAGTGATTTACATGGGATAAGGGGCGGGTTAATCCACTTCAATCATTAAGGGTGAACTAACCCACTTACGAGCCGTGGGTAGTTCGCCACCAAGTACATACTCCTATGGGAGAACCCCCACCGAATGGGGACGAACTCGTTAATCTACGATCGAGGGAGGATTTTTGCTAAGATGATCTGTAGATTTCCAAGAAATGCCGCTGGTATGTCCCATGGGTATTTCCTAAATGGTTGATATCCCATTATATGGTGTATATATATATATAGGTAAATTATAACGACCTCACTGTTCTCCCTCACTGGAATCATGGTCAGTAAGGGGAATTATTCCAATATGGTCTTATTTCATGTTAGTGAATTATTAGATTTTCCCCAGATATATACCGATATACCCATCAAGAGTTCCATTATCCATTGGAAAAAAAAATTGGGCATAATGTCATTGCTTGGTGGCCCATCCCACGGCTCGTAAGTAGGTTAGTTCACCCCAGTGATTTACGATAAGTCGGGTTAATCCACATCAATCACTGGGGTGAACTAACCCACAACCACTTGCGCCGTGGGTAGTTCGCCACCAAGTAGGGATATCACATGGATTATGTATTCCATATGGATATGTATACATATCCCATAGGGTTATAATAGCATATGTGATATCACAGGGATTATGTATCCCTGTATCCCATGGCTCATTCCTATGGGAATACATTATCATATATAATATTAAAATAATGGGATTATGTATTCCATATGGATCCTATGGGTTGATATCCCATTATTTTAATATTATTTTAATATTATGCCATGAAAGAATCCATGCTTTGATGTGCAGTTTCCCCATTAAAAAGAAAAAACAGATGGTTAATAGTGGTTAATAATGGTTAATAATGGTTAATAGTGGTTAATAATGGTCAATAATGGTTAATAGTGGTTAATAATGGTAATCAATGGGAGATCTTCAGGATCCAATTGATGGAGGTACGTAAACGTAACTGTTAGTACCATGTTTCTGGCCATATTTTGTTGGGGATATTCCCTGAAATTCAGGCCTGAAAAATAGGCCTTACATATGGCCATTGAAGAAACTCGTTCCTCGGCCAGGATGATAACCGTTCCAGTGACATGAGCGTCGATGAGATGTTCGGCACAGCGCCTTGGCCATGCTATGCCTTGGTTTACCCTCTGGTAAACTAACACTGGGGTTTCCATGGGTATAACTATGGTAATAAAATTGGAATATCATGGAACGGGATATATCACCAACAATATTGATATCCTCTGGTAAACTAACACAGCTATTGAACATTTTCGAATCTATAGTTGATTTACCTACTACAGATGGTGATTGTTCAGTTCGCAAACTGTTAGTTTACCAGAGGGTATTTCATCAATATACTAATAGCAAATAAGTTCATCAATGTATATAAAGCTGTACGTGACTTATATATATATAGTGTGACTAATATCAAAGAATGATAGTTAGCTGATAACTTAATTGTCATTCAAAACTGGAACGATATCTCGCTAGGCTTAGCTAAGTGTGTGACCATTTCACAACATGATTTAAGTGTTGGGGTGATGGTGGATATGGGGTTTCCTAAAATGGGTGGCACTATGGTGCACATGGGGTACCCCCAAATCATCTTTTTTTTTGCGGATTTTCCATTATAAAGCATCCAGCTATTGGGGTATCATCCATTTTATGGAAAGTATATTGACATATATTATATAACTATCATCTAATCAATCTATGGCTAGCTACTATAAACTATCTATATATGGCAACCCATGTACCCGCTGGTAAGCTAACATAGCTATAGAACATTGCCATTTATAGTGGATTTACCCATTAAAAATAGTGATTTTCCATAGATTTGTTAGTTTACCAGAGGGTAAACTAAACCAGCACACCTTTTGTTTGGAACCATCTTGGTCGATTCATGTGTGCTTTTTTGCCATCTCCGTCAATGGTGTCAATGTTGCGATATGTTGCTGGAAAAATGATGTCCCTGCTCTGGATGGAAGAAATAATCTATCAATCTGGGTAAATTATAACGACCTCACTGCGACCTCACTATAATCATAGTTAGTAGGGGAAATGATCCCCACATGGCCCTAATTCAGGTTCAGGTTAGTGAAATATTATAATTTACCCAGATCAATGGATTATTTTCCATTTGCCATCTTTGATTTTAAGAGTTGGCAAATGTCCTGTTTTGTTGATTTTGAACATCACTTGAAAAAGTATCTGTTGAAGATTAGTTTTATATGTTCCTCAATAGTTGGGTATTGTTTAATTAGGAGATTTACCAACCCCTGTTTTGCCTCTATTTTCTTCCTTTTGAGACAAACCATATGTGAAAACTGGTTGGTGCTTTGGAACATGAATGTTATTTTTTCCATTCAGTTGGGAATAATGATTTGCAATTGACTTTCATATTATTCAGAGGGTTAGGTATACCAGCAACCAGTATAGATAGATAGATATAACTACAAGGTGGTGCCCCCTCAGTTATAAATTGCTCTATAAACCCTAGTTAAGTGGTTATTCACCCTACTTATCCTACATTTTTCAGAGGGGTAGGTCAACTACCAGCCATTAATGGTTAATTATGGTTAATAGTGGTTAATAAATGATGGTTAATGATGGTTACTGATAGTTAATGATGGTTGAACATTTCATACCACCAACCAGATAGTTATAAGTATCATAAACCATAATTCTTGAGGTTATGAACCATCTTAGCTATAAACAATGGGGGTTATGAAACCACCAACCAGAAAATGTCTGGATCTCTTCCAGCAGCCGCACCACAAAAAAGGCCGTCTTCATGCCTTCGGGCGACGAAGTGCGTGGGGGTGTCACCACCATGGGACCCTGTGTCTCGGCGCAAGCGCAACGCGCAACAAGCGCAACGCTGGTGGTGCTTCGGAGTTACTGGTGGTAAATAATCATTCTTAATTGTGGTTAATGATGGTTAATGATGGGAATTTCAGGATCCCAAAATGGAGGTACGTTAGTACCATATTTCTGGCCATACTTTGTGGGGATATTCCCTGAAATTTAGGCCTTATATAGGCCTTTAGGTTCCTGAAATGGGCATTGACCATTGGTCATGTGAAATCAATCTGTAACTGGTTGTTTGGAACATGTTTTTTTCATTCAGTTGGGAATTTCATCATCCCAACTGACGAACTCACTCCATCATTTTTCAGAGGGGTAGGGCTCAACTACCAACCAGACTGCATGAGGTTTTAGTTTTAATGGAAACATCGTCTATAGATAGGGAATTGTCATGGATTGTTCATTGCCATGGTTGATTATCAAAGGGTATTGTTGATATTGAGGTTCTACTCACCGTTAAACCCATTGAAAAAGGGATCATGACATCCCACTATCATTATAGCCTATTACAATATCAACAGTTGCTACATTAATTTATATTACTTTATCAACAATCTGTTAGGGATATAAATCATTACATATTGTAGACAATTGTTTTGAATAATTACAATTAATAAATATAAATTATATTTGACAATAGTAATAACTATTGTAATTCTATTAGGGATATCTACATTAGCTATTCCATATCATTACAATCTGTTGGAATAGCGTTGATGTTGACAGCCGAGGTTATGAGATCCAGCAATCCATCTGGGATCCTTGGCAGCCTTGGCATTCACCAGGGCAGCTCGAACAGATCTGAGTGAGGGCTTGTCACCTCACTTGTTTCACTGGAATGATGCATGGAATGATGTATGGAATAACTATGGTAATATAATGGGATTATCATGGAATAGCATGGAATGGGATATATCACCAACAATATTGATATCCTCTGGTAATTTAACAGTTTGCTATTGAAAATGGTCCATTTATAGTTGATTTCCCTTTTAGAAACGGTGTTGTTGCATAGTTTTTTGTATGTTTACCAGAGGGTAGATAGATATGCTTACGATGTAAGATGTGATTTCCAGATGTAAGAGGTCACACTATCCCCCCCCAAAAAAACCGACCTCTTCAGCTGCATGAAATCTTATCATGGCCAGAATAGATCCAAAAAAGGCCAAGCGAATCGTAGCTGTTTGGTTCCCGGCCTGGTTTTGGGGATGCAGCATCTAACCGAAGGCCGGCTCCCCAACTCCCATCTTCAAAAGATCCCTGAGTTATGTACATATATATATATATATATACAATGTGGCGCCCCCCAGTTGTAAGTTGGTTTATAAACCCCATTAACTATAGTTATAAGTACCATAAACCATAGTTATTGGAGTTATAAACCAACTTAGCTATCTTGGGGGCCCCACATTGTAGCAATCCCAAATAGATAGAAAAGTTGGAAACCTGGATATATCTAGTAAATATCTACAAAAAAAGACCTCCTGGAAACACTTTTTCTATTTGGGGATGGCTGTAAGTTGTAAGGCTGTAAACCATGAGTTGCTATGGGTAGTTGAGTCACAAAAACTAGGCGGGAAGCACATCCAAACATCCCTCGAAGGGAGGTGCAAGAATCAATAAACCCAGGGCCTATTACTTGGAGGGTCATCGTTCTTAGTAAGTACAATGTGGGGCCCCCGTAAACGAAATCGATAATTATTAACCACTAATTATGGTATAATTCCTATATATCCCATTGAGGGTAGTTGGTTTATGATAGCTAAGTTGGTTTATAACTCCAATTTTACACCATGGTTTATGATACGCAAATAACTCGAGTATTCATGGGGTTTCTGTTAACCAACTAACATAACTGGCGGGCCCCACATTGTAGTTAAGAACCATGGCAAAAAAAAGAGTCCCCTCACTGGCTCCGATTTGTGGGTGTTCCTGGAAAACACTACGCAAGGAACAACAGGCACTAAAGGCACCGGTAGCCCAAAATTCAAAATGCGACGAAGGACATCTCTCAGCGGGTTCGAAGGCCTGATTTTCAGCAGTTGCTGGGGGAAAAAACTGAAGCTCTTAGCAAGTTTGTTAGTTTTAAGGGCCGTTTTGGCCAACTCTGCGCAACATGTTGTGATGTTTTTCTTCGACAAGTTCACCGCAGTTTCAGAATCTAGGCCCATTCAACCCAGCTCTAGGATTACCAGAGAGAAGCGCAAGTTTGCTTCAGTTCTTCAGGCGTATCTTGACACAACAGGCTGTCTTTTCAAAAGTTGACCATATAATGGTTATATCCCCAATCCCCCATGAAAACCTTCATTTTAGGTGATCCTCAGTCTTAATATGGCTTGTCCGAAAAATATTTGGATACCCTATCATGCCCGGAGATCCGCAATTGGATTGGAGAAAATGATGATAAACCAGCTCCTTCTTTAAGCCTCCTCCCAGTTGCTTCATCTTAGTCAGTCAAAACAATACTATATAATTATAGCCTCCGGTGATCGAACATGGCATTGGAGAATCATTTTTGGATGATTTTCCCATGAAAGCATTCACTTTTTCGGTGATGTTCAATTGCTACGTTTGATTACCGGTGGGTATCAAAAAAGCACGGCAACCAGAGCCACATAGTTAATTATGAAGTCTTCCGTGATATTGGCCACTTTATTGACCCCCCATTTTCAGACACAACCAATCACAACCATATAATTCCACATACATGATATAATCATAAATATATATATATATATATTATAAATATGATTTCTGTATTGTACATAACTAATACATAAAATCTCAATATCTCTATGTTTTCCCATGTGTTTCCTCTGTTTTTCATGTGGAAACCCTCGGTTTCTGTTGGTTTTCCACGCTTAGGATGCCTGCTTGGTGGTGGGTTTGCCCATCATTAGCCACTGGGATTCCGCGATCATCGTGGTCTTGACGCTGATGTGGGCCCGGCGCGGTTGAGGCGGTTGAACCGCGAAGCCAAAGGATCATGATATATATATATATATATACACCCTCTGGTTATTTAACATAGCCATGGAACATGCCCCATTTATAGATGTATTTTTTCCTTTAAAACCTCGATTTTCCATGATATATAATAAATACTTAGGGACACCCCCAAAGCATCCAAATTAGACCATTTAGTATTGAAACCAATGGTTTCGGGGATCCCCTGTTGCAAGAAACCCCTCATATGATCTGAGTAAATTGTAACGACCTCACTGTTCTCCCTCACTGGAATCATGGTTAGTAAGGGGAATCATCCCCAAATGGCCGCAAGATTCAGGTTAGTGAAATATTATAATTTATCCATATATATATATATGTTTTTAAACCATAGTAAGTATCTGATTGGTGGTTTGGAACCTATAAGTGGCTGAATTCTATGGTTTATAGTAGATATATACAAAAAACATACAAAAAACTATGGAAACTCATTTATTTAATGGGTAAATCCACAAACTAAATGGTCATGTTCAATAACAATGTTAGTTTACCAGAGGGTATCTGATTGGTGGTTTGGAACATGAATTTTATTTTTCCATATATTCAGAATGTCATCATCCCAACTGACGAACTCGTATTTTTCAGAGGGATTGAAACCACCAACCAGTATAGGTAGACAAGACAAGACAAGACAAGATAGATAGATAGATATAACTACAAGGTGGTGCCCCCCAGGTATAAATTGGTCTATAAACTCAGTTAAGCGGTTATTCACCCTACTTATCCTACATGGCCATTTCAGGAGCCTAAATTGGAGGCACCTAATATATACACATATATACATATATATATAAGGCCTATGTTTCAAGCCTATGTAAGGGAATATCCGCACAAAATATGGCCTTATTATATGGTACAGTAAGTACCTCCATTTTAGGATCCTGAAATTCCCATTGAAATCATGATATATGAGGATAATCTGGGACAATAAAGAGAACACAATGGCTCTTATGGATAAATAGACCCTGAAAATCACCAGTTTTTAGTGGAAACTAATCTTCCTACCCCTATTTTGCAGGGTCTATGTTAATTTACTGGAGGCTATATGTACAATTATGTACATATCTAGTATATATATGTGTGTGTGTTTATATCTATAGGTAAATTGTGTTGCGACCTCACAGTCTTCCCTTACTGGAATGATGGTTAGGATTCGGGGTAGCTATCCTCAAATAGCCGTATTCCAGGTCAGTGAAATATTATCATTTCCCAGAAACAAATGCAATATATCAATAGTAATGAGGTATACCAATTGGTTCTAAGGATAATATGGTTTGATATATATAATTTATTAATTTATTAATTATATGTTGTATATCCATGTAATTATATATGGTGTAGATGGAGATTGATGAGGATAATGTGGGATAGTCATGGAATAATATGAAATGAGATTGGTAATCCATCGCTATATCACGAGGGTATCACGAGGGATACTTAGTAAGTGGTTGGTGGTTTGGAACCATGGAATTTTATGACTTTCCATTCAGTTGGGAATGTCATCATCCCAACTGACTTTCTCTCCATCATTTTTCAGGATGGGGTAGGTTGAAACCAACCAGCTATGGTTTATAGGTGATATATCTATAATTCTATAGTCAATGGGGATTGTAAACTAATTTATAACGCTAAGTTGGTGCAAATAAGTCCAATAACTATGGTTAAGTTTTTTTTCCACTTGGAGGATCATTCCACGGCTCTCGTGTTTGCGATTAACCCTTGGTGAAGGGATTCGTAGCCATTGGGGTTATCCCAGAGAGTGAAGTGACCCCTTTTGTTCTAACCACTTACGATTCCGATGATCCTCCCACGATGAAGGTTTGGAAGAGAACCCATCTAGAAAGAATAGAATATATATATACATATGTGTATATATATATACACATTTAAGTTTGGATCATCCAGCTAAAAAAAAAAGTTTCTGAATATCTAGATCGGTCATACTGGAAAATCCAAAGATAGGGCCACTGTGGCCATCGATGGCCCAAAATAAGGTCAACAGAGCATATCAAACCAACCATTCCATGGGAATACAACTGGATAAGGGCTTCTTGGCCAGCAAATATTGATTTAGAGATGTGCGCTATTGGCTATACTATAAAAGGCGTAATTGCTGATGGTGTGTCTTTATATAGGCCTTACACTCTATTTATCTACATGCAGTACTGGTACCTTCATTTTAGGTAAGTTGGCCCCCTCCTCGTCCCGAAATCCTACACTCGAATTCGAAGGTGACCTAGTTTGCGCCATGTCCTCGGGTAGACTCGCCGCCAGAAGAAGGGCCCGTGCTCAAAGCCGCGGTTGGCGCCATCTGTTGAGAAACATGAGAGAAAGTTATGTAAATCATTTGGATTCAGCCAACTCCTTGAAGGCAACACAAATGAACAATTGTTGCTTAATCCCTACTTGGTGGCGAACTACCCACGAATCGTAAGTAGGTTATAACCCCAGTGATTTACATGGGATAAGTAGGGTTAGTCCACTTATAACTGGGGTTATAACCCACTTACTAAGTGGGATGAGCCACCAAGTAGAATATGTCATTAGAGGGGGTCACGTTTGTGAAAGACTCACCACCAAAATCGTGGCATATTTTTAAAACAAAAAACGGCACTACAATTTCAATTGTTACGCGCAAAGGCGCAAATTGACGACGCAGTTGGTTTTGCTCACAAGAAAGGCTGCTGGCTACCATGACCCAAGAATTCTTTCAAAGAGTGTTTCCAACAATGCAACTTATTAGATGGTTGATTACACACCTCCAGACATGGACAAAGTTAGGGGATGAGGGAACTGATGCTGCGCCAGGAACATTGTTGCACAAGTTGGTTTCGTTGTACCTCGATTTTCCCAGAGACGTGGGAAGTGGAATGTTGGCTAAGGGGTCGAATATCCTCATGTGGGTTTGTCAAAGTATAGGGAACCGCCCCATCCAATGGTGTTTTCGTTTTCCAGATATTCATTTGCCATTTTTTAGCGGGTATGGTTGTCATTGTATCCGATGGAACTGTGCATCAACGTAAGGACTGCCTGCGTTCGGACGACCATCCCCTACAGACAGTGTTTTGACCACGGCATATCTAGGGAATGGGCGAATGAACAACGGTGGTGAAACCATTGCACCACTGCTTTCAATGCATACCCATGAGCCACTCATTAATAGTTGGCACATGTCCTTTATGAAAAATAGAAGTGGGATTGTAACTCCTAGTTTGGGGATGTTTCCGACCAATTTCCTTTTAAAATAAAGCTAGGATATCCTGGAACTGGACGATTAAAATTTAAAGCCCCCAAACAGCCTTTATCACGATTATTCTGTTGGAAAGCCGGCCGAGAAGAAGATGCCCAAGAGCGAGAAGCAGAAGGCTCCTGAATCGAAGGCTATGCCACGACAAAAGGCCCCTCGCCTTAGTGTGGAGGCCGACACTGCTCTCAAAAAGCTCGAGGAGGCAACTGAAAGGAAAGAAGGCGCCGTGTGGCTCGACCCAAACGATATGGCATCCCGCATCCCTCGTGAATACTGTGGTCAGGGACGCATGCGGTTTTTGTCAACGAAAATGTCCTACGTGCTGCGAGGTCATGCCCATAGCTACGGAGCCCGAAGTCCTGACATTGACCCAATGGACATGTCCATGGACTTTGACGCAGTCATGAGGACGTTGGGCCACCCTGTCACGCTCGCTGATTAGAACGAAAACTATCACGAAAACGAACTCAAAATTGAATGCCTCTGTTACCCTTCAGGGAAGCAACATGGCAATGGGAAAACCCCCATCCAGTTCGATGATATACTTTTTACAAACTATCAAATTACAGGGTATGGTTTGCAAATGGCTGATGTTCCTGGAAGAACAGTATCTCAGTCGATCATTTTTTTGATTTTCCCTTTAGCATGGCCATTGTTCCATTGTTAAGTGAACACGTTTTTGTTGATCCAGTAACTACGAGAATTTGAGGCCCCCCAATGAAGTTTCACCCCATGAATATAAATTCGTTATATCCCCCCCTATCAACCATAGAACCAAGTGAACTGTGCATCAACTTAGCTATCTATGTGAATTTCTGCACCCTCAGGTTGCCATTTTCCCTTGAAAACGGCACGAAATGGGGAATCCACCATTCTAGTCAAGACACAGATGTCACATAAAGGTGGTATATAAATATATCATCAAATAAAAAAAATGGCTATCTACCCTGTGATTCCTATTATTATCCCCACAATGTCCCAATCAGAATTTTTACTCAATTTTTATGGGTGGTTATTTTCCCATCTTTATATCTCAGACATCTCCATATAGATTTCCCACTTATAGCCATAAAGGCACCCGGCAGCGTCTCAGCTAAGCGCAGCTAAGTACATCGTGAAGCAGTACATGTCTGAGAGCATCCTGGGCCATGAGCAGTCGCTTAGCCATCGAAAGTCAAGGTGGGTGAGTTCACCCTGATTGATGTAGACCCTGCCAGGGGAAGATGAGTGAAACCACGAAAAACGGGTGATTTTCAGAGTTACTCTTTATTCATAAGAGTCTCAGAAAATTGTCCCAGATCCTCATAGTTGTTGGTGTTGGTCCATAGTTTGGTAGGTCAACCACCAACCAGCTATGGTTTATAGGTGATATATCTATAGTTCTATAGTTTATGGGGATTATAAAATATTATAAACTAATTGATAACGCTAAGTTGGTGCAAATAAGTCCAATAACTATGGTTTGTAGGTGATATATCTATAGTATTCATGGGGTTTATAAACCAATTTACAACTGGGGGGCACCACCTTGTAGGGTGAATAACCACTTAACGGAGGTGAGCTCGCCCACTTAGATGAAGCACCAAGTAGATGATAAATATCAACCTGGTGAAGTTTATAGTGTATAAAGCCCATGAACTATAAATATGTCACTAGGGCTTACGGCAGATATATCTATAGTCCATGGGGTACATGCACTCACACCCGGGGATGAACCAGCAGAAATTTTGTGATTGTTTGTGGAGACTTGTATTATCAACCATCATTAACCATCATTTACTAACCACTTTTAGCCACAATTAACCATTAATGGGTGGTTTGTGGAGCCTTTTAAAATCCCCAAAAAAACATTGCCATGAAACAAACCCTGATCGGCTCGAGAGCCTGATCAAAGTTTGGAGGGTCTGAACGGCTGGAAATCAGTTTGGAATAAGAAGCTGGAAGCATCTTGTATTTATTTACCTATTATAAATGGTGATTTTCCATAGTTATGTAAACGTTTACCAGAGGGCATATATGGGATAATAGTATAGATATATTTATATTTGGTTGGTGCTTTGGAACATAAGTGGCTGAATTCTATGGTTTAGGGTAGATATAACGAACTAGTTAATGAATGTTGCGTGGTGCTTTGGAATGAATTTTATGACTTTCCATTCAGTTGGGAATGTCATAATCCCAACTGACGAACTCCATGATTTTTCAGAGGGGTAGATATATCACCAACCAGATATGTATGGGATTTGTTTCATGGAAGTCATGAGGATATAACATGATATAACCAGCTGTGTTGTATGGCTGTGTTCAAAATTGGGCGACTGGGTACCCAACTACAATAGATATCATTGGTACCCTCTGTAAACTAGCATAACTATGGAAAAACACCATTTTAAAGAGGCAAATCAACTATAAATGGCCATTTTCAATAGTTTTTTGTATGTTTACCAGAGGGTAGATATCATAGGTATTGTACTTTAAAACAACAAAAAGATGAAGGGGGCGGCCATGCCAAATACATAGTATATCTTCAATGGGAGATCTTCAGGATCCTAAATTGGAGGTACTTACTGTACCATATTTCTGGCCATATGAATTGTGGGGATATTCCCTGAAGTTTAGGCCTGAACAATAGGCCAAAAATTTATGGAATCGGTACCTCCAATCAATCGGTTCCTGAGTCATGGCCATAGATATATTGTGTTAAATCACCGGTTTTTCGTGGAAACCAATCTTCCTAGCCCTATCCATCCTGCAGCTGTTCCCTCAGATTCCATTGGTTGGTTTCTAAGCCCGTTGGTTGGTGATAGGTTACTTCGAGGATCATCCCATGAATAACCAGTAGCCATCCATAACCATACACATAACCCATTATTACAATGTGGGGCCCCCCCAGTTTTGTTACTTGGTTAACAGAAACCCCATTAACACGATAGTTATTTAAGTATCATACGCCGTAGTTATAAACCATAGTTATTAATCACCAATCAGTAGCCATCCACTGGCAGGGTCTTTTTTTTTCGGATGGGTAGATGAAGGGGGGCAATGCCAAAAGAAGATCCCGGGATTCCATGACCGCTCGCGGTGAAGAGAAAATCCTTTTTTTTTCATGAAAATACTGGTTGCACAAAAGAACGGGACACCAAAACCAGTATTATCTGGTTGGTGGTTTGGAACATGAATTTTATTTTCCATGTATTTGGAAGAATCATCCCAACTGACTAATATGTTTCTGAGGGGTTGAAACCACCAACCAGGTATTATCTTACTGGTGCGTTTTACGCAGGGAATTTTCGGGAATGATCCATAATCACTAGTAATAATCATCCCAGCAACCCCCAGCAACCCATCCATTCCCTACTAAGCATCAGTAAGTTATGGAATGATAATCCCCAAATGATAATTTAGTGGGTACGATCATATTCTTTGGATAATCAACCGAGGGTGTTTGAACACATCTTAGCTGTCATTTCTTTGCATGTGTTTTTTTCTGACTTGCGTTGCGAAAAGAAACGCAGCTACACTTTTGTGAAGCCAAACCCCATTCCACCAAGAAAAATCTGGGGCATTCTAGGTTTCGTACTATGTTTGAGAGTTCCATAGTTTCCATGTCATTTCCTCAAAATCCCTTGCAAACAATCCAGTCTATGTGGGCCTGCTAGAAGGATCTTTGCTTGATGTGGAGCGCAATGCAGCAGATTTGGCAACAGGAAGAGTGGTCTACATTGAAGGTCCTGGTGCACTTTTAGAGCGCATCGGGCCTATCCTTGCGATCCTCTTTTCGAATTGCGCCTGCTGGTCGAGGTGACTTTCTGAATGGAAAGTTTAGCACCTCCTGGAGTAGGAGTTCCTCATGTGGCAACTCCTGACCAGTATGAATTCTTGGCTAGTCAGTGGGCTATCCAGGACAGAGAAGTACGATTGTAGCGATGTTTTTTGGGCCCTGATTTGCCCACTGGCATCTTGCAACGAGGGTGTTTTTCCCTCTGAAAGAGTGTTTTTCCTTGATGAATTGTGGAACTCCACGTTTCAATTAATCACATGAGACACTCGATTTGGTGCACATATATATGTAATGTATAGACTGTATAGAGATGTGTGTGTGTGTGCAAGGCAGTTCTGCAAACAATTTACTTTTCAACTCAAACAGGCATTCGAACTTTAGCCATAATTTTGGCATTCAAAGTTTGTTTTGCTTTTAGGCCACCAGCACAAGTCAAAAATCTAGGCGTGTTTCTTCCCAAAAAGGTTTCCCCCCATTCAAAGTTTCAGACTGCATCAAGTGACATTAAGCCATGTCTCTGTTGAAACGCCCCCGAGGTTACAAGAACTGGTGCGTTTCAGGACATGGCGAGGTGTAATTCGCGTCATGTTTGGTGTCGTTTTGAGTGTCGAAAAAAAATGGTTGGTGTTTTTTCGTGTTGCAAAATTAGCCACCAGAAGAAAACATGCTCGTCACGGAATTGACCTTACTTTGGTTTTTTGTTTAGGGTACATCCCGGATAGCAAGCGGGAAGTAGCCATATTAATTGCCCAGCTATGCGTGGAAGATCATCTGGCATGGTTTAGATGTGGCAGTGTGTCAAAACCTTGTACCCCTGGTGAACATCAAAATAGCTGGTAAATGGATGTTCATCCCATTAAAAATGGTATTAATAGGTATTGATCCATACCCATGTATCCATGTAGCAAAATTGGGTTCTTCACAGAGTCCTCAAGACAGGCTTGCTCCAAGCAGTATATGACGACACCGACAATGGTGGTGCCTGCTAAGTTGACGAGAAACGCTTGGTGACTTAACTATGGTTTATGGTAGATATCTCATGATATATTTGTACTTCAGGTGGTTTGTAAATGTTTATGAATTGAATTCTACTTTGGGCACACCAGGTCACCATGATCTATGTTATTTGCAGCACCATGTGGAGGATGACTTCAAGAGAAATGGCGAAATCACCGCCCAGTTTCAATGAACTGGTTTGCAGCATTGAAAAAGAGGTGGTCAATGATTTGGCCTACTCTTCTTCAACAGATATGAAGGTTTCCTATTGGTTTCCTAATATTTAGGGGCACCCCCAAATCATCCAAATTAGACCATTTTAGTATTGAAACCCATGGTTTTGGGGATCCCCTGTTGTAAGAACACCCCCATATGATCTGGGTAAATTATAACGGCCTCACTGCGACCTCACTGGGAATGGTGGTTAGTAGGGGTGACTATCCCCAAATGACCTTATTTCAGGCTAGAGAATTTATATAATTTACCCAGATATGATGTATATAATTTCAGGAATCTACTCAGAATATGTTTGATGTTTTGCCCCTTAATCCAAAACTCAACAGACATTGCCCCCTTGTTATTTAACATAGCTATGGAAATCACAAAAAATCATTTGTTCCCATAGGTAAATCGTGTTTTTAACCATCTATAAATGGGCAATTTTCCATAGTATTCCATAGCTGTATTAAACAACCAGAGGGTCGCATCTTATATTACAGTTGGTTTGGTATATCCCCACTATATCCAACCCATGATTATCCCCATTAAATCCCCATAATAAATAGATATCCTGATATCTCATTATTCATTCACAATATGTTCAGAATGTTCCGTCATCCAATAAATTGTTGCTTGCTTTCCTATGACTTCGGGGCTTGCATGATCCATCTTTCTGACGGATATCATCCACCGAAGGACCAACATTGCCCACGATGTGAAATACGCTGACCTGGGCACAGGTGCAGATACCATGGATACATATGGATACCATGCTGCTCCCATCCGTTAGCAAAAAGAACTGGGGCAATTACTGGGATGTTACGGTATACTGGGAAAAAAAGGGCATCATGGGATATATCTCAGGATAAATTTGGGAGTTTTTTGGGGGAGATACTAAGCAACACTATTAGTTGTGCCATGGTCAGGTGCTTGCTGGATTGGACTAACCCAGATTCATTTTTCCATTAAGTTTGGATTTCCATGGCATGCAATGGATGACCATATCCCATATCCTCTGGTTATGTCAAAATAGCTATTGAAAATGGCCCATAGAAATAGTGGATTTTCCCATTAATAGCATGGTGATTTTCTATAGCTATTTTGACATAACCAGAGGGTATATCATGTTTTGACCACCGCACATATGGGTACATGTTTTGATTTTTCCCATGACGGCCAGCCCTTGAACCACATGTCACATACCCGGCCTGGTTATGTCAAAATAGCGAACTGGAAAGATCCACCATTTTTAATGGGAAAATCCACTATTTCTATGGCCATTTTCAATAGCTATTTTGACATAACCAGAGGGTATCACAGACCCTTTTTTCAAAAGTAGTGGAGGCTATTTTAATACTACTGGAACGGTTTGGAGGATTCAAACTCTGGGTGAGAAAAATTGAGAAACTAGCCTCGTAACATAAGGTTACGATGGGCCACTTATAGATGGCAGATGATTTACCAGAGGCTATTCAATATCAGCCAGGGGCCCAAGGTTGACTTATAACTTGATTAACTATGGTTTATGGTAGATATAACTATAGTATTCATGGGGTTTATAAACCAACAAACATCACTGGGAGGCACCATCCTGTAGGGACTCTCGGATGTGTGTTTTTTGTTCTTGCAGATTTCGATTTGCCCAGCACCAGGACCAGCAGGAAATAAAAGCGGCATGGGTTTTTTGAAGAATCACCAACCTGGATATCAATTGTACAGTTATGGCCCATTTACCAGTTATAACTGGCTAGAAATGGGATTATACATTCTATAAATGGGGTTATAAGTACTTATAACTGATAAATGGCCATAACTGTAGATCCCATTTTTGAGCAAACACCTGTGCTATTGCAATAAGGTTAACACATAACTGTTGATCGCAAGGCTAAACTGTTGAGTTATCGGATGGTTCAGACAGATTAAACATGATTAGACCATATTAGACCTCATTTGGGTTGTGAACCCAACATTTTTGGATAGTTTAAATAATTAAAGCATCTGTACTGGTGTTTACCATGACAATCTGTACAGTGTTTGTTGTGCTGAAACTTTCCGAAATTGTTGTTTTGGCTGCTTCGCCCGTCTCAGATCGCCTTGGAGTTGCTATTCATTAAACCCACCGAACACCACGTATTTTTTTGTTCATTCATGTTTTCAGGCATTTTTAAGGTAAGTTAAATCATTCCTTCTAAAACCTACGCAAACCATCAATTTCCATCTAAAACCCACTCAAAACATCAATGTCCATAAAGCCATCCAGTTCCATCTAATACCTACTGAAACCATCTAAAACCTACTGAGACCATCGAAAACCTACTGAAACCATCTCAAACCTACTGAAACCATCTATATAAAACCTACTGAAACCATCTAAAACCTTCAATTTCCTCATGTTTTTTAACCTTTTTTCAGGGTCATTTCGCTTTGGTGCCGCCGACCGACCTTTTCGCCGCGCAGGTCGCTCGTTGGCGCGACAGGTCTGCGGCTTGGATGAGCAACTGCCGTGGGCTTCCACGCAGTTCACAGCACCTTGGTGTGTGGCAATTTGTTATGGGATTACTTGGTGGCTCATCCCACGGCTCGTAAGTAGGTTATAACCCCAGTTATAAATGGGATAAGTAGGGTTATTCCACATCAATCACTGGGATTATAACCTACTTACTAAGTGGGATGAGCCACCAAGTAGGGATTAGATAATGAATCATGAAACAACATGGGGGTTAAAGGATGTTAAAGGTATGTAGAACGTGACGAAGTAGGAGTGATGGAGATGGGAGATGAAGATTCATGGGGATTAATGATGATTAATTGGGAACATAAATGTCCTTTTTCCCACTGGTTGGTTGATTAATAGAGGGGTTTGTGTACCCCTTTAACAACAGCTAAATGATAGATGGTACACCAACTGGCCTCGATTTTGACCAAAACGACATTATTGGTGTGTGGTCGATTTTTCTGGTGAACATGCAGGAAAAATCTGAATCATTGAGGTGAATTTTTGGGGAATTATCCCATTTGAATCCATTTGATGTGAATTTTCTGGCAATATCAACCACCAATGAAAATTCATGAACATTTTGAATCATTGAGGTTAATGGTAGATTTGTTCTAGTGATTTTTCTGGTGATGAAAGAATCTGATGTTTTTCTATTAAAATTCTGTCCATTATTGAAGTTAATGCTGATTTCTCCCATTTGATCTGGATTTCGTGGGCATATTTTTACCACCAATGATCAGTAGTTGGAACAACACCATGGGGGGATGACATGGACATGGCGGACCAATGTTGGAAAAAAACTTGGGGTCAAACCATCAATTATTTTTTAAACGATAAAACCAACTTTGGGGTATCATCAAACGATAAATGGATCTATATAATAGGATTAACCCATGGAAGAATGTCTGATTGGTGGTTTCAATCATTTTTTATTGTCCATAATATATGGGATAATCCTTCCCATTGACTTTCATATCCCTCAAGATGGTTAAAATCAACCAGTAGTGGTGATATACCGCTTGTCTATGTCTGTGACTATGACGGGGATATATGGTTCAAAGTCTAGGATCTTTTTCCGCGCGAATTGGGGATTGAATGAGCAGATACAAGGGATATACCCTCTGGTAAACGTTAACACAGCTATGGAAAATGGCTATTTATAGTGAGTTGTCCCATTAAAAATGGTGATGTTCCATACTAGTAGTTATGTTAGTTGATGGAGGTTGTCAACGAGGCTCGCTGTGTTGCACTCATATTGCAAAGCCACGGTCACTCGCACTCCGACGCTGATACACAGCAACAATGAACTGTGGCAGTTGTTTGATTTTGTCAAAGAATTGTGCGAGAGTGAGATTGAACTGCATGCCGGTCTTGGCAGATTTCTCTCCTCGCTCAAAAATCCGCTGCCAACTTCAGCCTACATATGTCTGGGTGATGATGCTGTGTTCAATTTGCTCCTCAGATATGTTCAGGCGACCCATGTTCTGCACACTGGGGGGCTTGGTGCTGCGCGCTCCGGCGGACGAGTCCTGACCAGTCCTGCACACCATCTTCTGAGCGGCGTTCTGAGCGCTTTGGGCCTTTGGGTCTGTTACTGTAGCTTTTTGTTTTGATGCTGGGGTGCACCTTGAGGGGCTGCTTTGGCTGGTCCTAAGGACGCCTTAAGTTGCCAATCTCCTTTACCAATGCATCCCTTTTTTTTTGTCTCTGGGGTTGGCTCCCAGCTTCTGTGCTTCTCCCACCTTTTTTTTTTCCTGGTCCCTGCTTAGCACTCGGTACCTCTCCTGAAGGGAGCGGCGCCTTGCCGGTTTTTTTTTTGGTGGCATGCCAGCTGGGTCAGCGGCCCTTGTTTTCCTTCTGAGCCGTTACTGATCGCTCACCAGTGGGTCACTTTCTCAGAATCTCACTGTTATGTTAGTTTACCAGAGGGTAGTTTATTGGATACAAGGGAGGTATGCTATGACTCACAGATAGCCACCTTGGGTTATTTTTGTAAGGGAGGAACACAGAAGATTGGTAACTAAACTGGTGAGGGAAAATCGGTATGTAAATCATCAATAAGCAACACACTTGATCCCTTACTTAAACTTGCATTCAAAAAACGTACTGCATTATGCACATTTTTCTCCACAAATGATTTGTACACTAAGCAACTTTCAGGCAATTTTTCAGGTGTGACTTCAAGATTCGCCAAAGCGCTTCATTTTTGGTGGATAAGTTGAGGTATCCTCTCAGCAGATAGTCTGAACCTGCCTCGGGGGATCATCAACTTTTTACAAAGAGAGTAGCCACCAACAAGTTAGAAAAGTGGGTATAGGATTATAGTGTATCTATCTATCACTACTTTGACAGTACTTCCTAGATGAACACTACATTTTTTACCAACTTCTATAGTGTCGGAGATTCCCATACACAACATGTTCGATATATATATATATATATATTCATATATGCATATATATTCATATACAATCTGGTTCAATGATGCCGTGACCGTCCGAAGCCTGGAATCATGACGTAAGATAGGTTTTGACCATCCCGAGATGGCCGTTAAAATCTCGGTGACATCTTTGAATTGGCCTAGAATGTGGCGCCCCCCCAGGTATAAATTCCGGTTGGTGCCTTGGAACCACCCATTAATTGGTTAAGTATGGTTAATAGTGGTTAATAAATGATGGTTAATGATAGTTAATGAGATACTGGTTGGTGCCTTGGAACCATGGAATTTTAATGACTTTCCATTCAGTTGGGAATGTCATCAATGTCATCATCCCAAGTGACGAACTCCATGATTTTTCAGAGGGGTAGGTATACCACCAACCAGAATTGGTTTTTAAACCCCATGAACTATAGTTATTAAGTATCATAAACCGTAGTTATTGGATGTTATAAATAACCAACTTAGCGATTTCGTGGCCACATGGGGCCCCACATTGTAGATCTTCTACACATAATATTGGTGATTGATGGGAACACTTGGGGATTGGAATATGACAATATAGTGGTATGTAATGGATATATTATGGGATATACCCTCTGGTAAACTAACATAACTAAGGACAATCACCATTTTCAATGCGTAAATCCTCTCTAAATGGCCACTATAATGGATACATTATGGGATATAATGGATCCTTTGGATAAGGTCACTGTGTCCTCACTGAAATGATAGGTGAATGTTTTTCGGGGAATCATCCCCAGCCGCAAGTTTCAGGCCTCTAAAATACTAAACCATAAACCAGCCATTAATGGTTAATGATGGTTAATAGTGAATAATAAATGATGGTTAATGATGGTTAATGATGGTTACTGATAGTCAATGATGGTTTATGTGGAAAAACCAGTTCCATAAACCATTTTCTGATGGGTGGTTTGGAACATGAATTTTACTTTCCCCAATAGCTGGGGATGATGATCCAATCTGACTTTCATATTTTCCAGAGGGATTGACACCACCAACTAGTATAATTTACCCGGGTGTATACACATAATATTGGTCTACAAAAGTTTTATGGATCCCAGTCAGTAAGTGGCTAGTATTTTCCGACACCAAGGCAGTGGACAACCTGCAGAACTATGCAAAGACCGGAACGCTGCCGCTCGGACCAGGATCAGGGCCTTTGACACATTTTTGGGATGACTTTATCAAACATGGTGGATGTCACCAATTAATACAAATCATGTGTTTAAAGTAGCAACAAAAACGGATCACTCAAGGGAGAATGACCAGCCCTTTGCAGGGACTTCACTGCCCAAGCACCATAGATGAAGGATTCCGAGGGGAAGTGCTCCAAGTTGACGTGTTTTAAGTTTTGGAATGCCAATAGATTGGCCAAGAGTATCTCAATCAGGTGAATTTGGTTCCAATCATCAATTACCCTCTGGTAAATTAACATAGACCCTGGCAGATAGGGGTTGGAAGACTAGTTTCCATTAAAAATTGGTGATTTTCAGGGTCTATGTTTATTTACCAGAGGGTAAATGGCTTTGCAACAGTTGCAAACAGGATCAAATATCTACCACAATTTTTTTGTTGCCATATGAAAGCTCAAAGCGTGGAGACATCACAGACAATTTCAGGGCCGTTGAATAAATGTTACCCTCTGGTTATGGCTAACATAGCTATTGAAAATGACCATTTATAGATGGTTTACCTATTAAAAATGGTGATTTTCCATAGTTATGTTAGTTTACCAGAGGGTAAACCCAAACAATTAGAGCATCCCCGTTCTGACTTACTAGAGATGGGTGGATCATGATGCAATTCCCGATGTTTTCCCAGAATTGCATGATTGGAGAATGTACAGGAAACATCTATATTTGTAACTTCAAAAAATGGCTTCCTGCAGCTGTTCCCTCAGATCCATCCATTGGTTGGTTTCTAACTCCATGAGGGTGATAAGTTAGCTACTTGGAGAATCATCCCATTAAGAACCAGTCAGTAGCCATCCATAACCATACAGAAAACCCATTATTACAATGTGGCTCCCACCCAGTTTTGTTAGTTGGTTTTTAGAAACCCGATGAATACTATAGTTATAAGTATCATAAACCATTTATTGGAGTTATAAACCGATTTGGTTATCTAGGGGGGCCCCACATTGTATGGGATAACCCAGTGAGGGGACTTACGTTCACCAGTGTGCTGACCAGTTACAATTTGTGGCCTGATCTTCCAAATAAGTGATCAACCATCTATTCAAGGTATAACCATGATCACCTGTGGTTAATACATGCTAATACTGTGGTTAATTGGGATAACTATGGTGTTACTAATTAGTGTTCCAGACCAGTTAGTTTGTGGTGATTACAATAACCATCGTGTTCCAAGGCTTCATCAAATTTTACGTGCCGAACTATGGAGCACCACCCTGCAACGAAAATGTAGCTTCCCAGAATTTCCAAGTCATGGAGGTTTCTGAAGTCATGGGGGATCCCGGATCTCCCATCGTTCAGTTTGGGGATTTCCCACGGGTAGCCATCGAAAGCTGATCCAATTTCGCTTCAGGTTGGCCCTGCTGGCCATCGGCTGCTGGTTGGCGACCACTCTGCGGGAGCGGGCAGAAATTCCGTGGGAGAGTCCTCACATGGAGAAATCACCATGTTTAAGAGGTCAACTAACACTGGTTGGTGGTTTGGAATATGTTTCCATATATTGGGAATAATCATAACTGACTTCATATTTTTCAAAGGGGTTGAAACCACCAACCAGAAGAGTTTGCGAACTGGAAAATGACCATGTTTCAAAGTTTAATAAGAAAATCAACGAACTAAATGGACTATGTTCAATAGCAAACTGTAACAATTACCAGATGGTAAAACTTGGAGAAACATGACGCAAGGTTCATGCCTGAAACATAGAGGTTTGACCAAACCCTGGCGTACTGAACCTAGAGAATGATGAATCGATATGGGATACAAAGCAAGACTCGTGGCTGGTTGGTGGTTTGGAACATGTTTTTCCACCCATTATTGGTTAATTATGTTTAATAGCGCTTCATAAATGATGGTTAATGATAGTTAATGAGATACTGGTTGGTGGTTTGGAACATTTTTTTGATTTTACATATATTGGGAATGTCATCATCCCAACTGACGAACTCACTCCATCATTTTTCAGAGGGATAGGTCAACCACCAAGACTGGTGGGATACCCTGTGGTTTTTCCCATTGATAGCATGGTGGATCGTTCCAGAGTTTTTTGTGAACGTTTACCAGGCCGGGTAACGGTCATTTTTTTGGTTAACCATCCCCGGAGTTTCTGCATTCGTGGGATGATCCAACGGCATCAAGTCATAGCTCAAGGTTTGGACCTCATGGCCAGGTCTCCCAAAATTCTGTGCTTCGTCTCAAGCTGCCGGCAACTCTGGTTTGGTACCTGTCGACCTCAATCAATTATTGAATCCCCAATCTTGTTCTGCTCAAAACATGGTCAAACGCCAAATCTGTTGATCATCATTTTGAAAAAATGTTGAAAGCTGCCATTTTGGTTGCGGTACAACGGTAAACTCCGCTTCTGGTAAACTCCGCTTTTTGAGTAGTGTTGTCTTTGCCTTGACAGGAGGGTGTTACATTGACATACTGATCAGTTCAAAGTTCAATTGTTTGCAGGGTATGATAAGATTGGCCGGGAATACTACCACATATTGCCACAGAGGGATTTCATGGATTCCAAAAAAGATGCAGGCAAGAATAGATTATAAATCCCTATGTTGATCGGGATTATGCCAAAAAGCATCAACAATAACCATCATCTTCTCATGCTCACCATCCAAAATGGAATTTGCTGGTATCCCGGTATACCCGGTAGTTCTATCCCTGGCGATGGTTTGTTGAATTCTATTGAAGTTTCCATGTGTGTTGACAGAAAAAACCAGATGAATCCACCGTTTTCTCCTAATATATCTCCATTTTTTTTAGATCGTATACAATCAATGGGAATTTCAGGATCCTAAAATGGAGGTACTGTACCATAATATAAGGCCATATTTTGTGGTGATATTCACTTAAATATGCCTTATATAGGCCTTATATATGGTAGGTACCTCCAATTTAGGTTCCTGAAATGGCCATTGATAATATATCTCCATTTGTTTTAGATCGTACACAATCTCATGTACATGTACATCTATATCATATCTATATCTCTCCATTTTCCCATGAAAACCACACATCCCATTTTCCACCATTAGACCCCTTTAATCACATATACATCTATCCAATGTTATCCCAATAGATCCAGTGTTTTCGCATTCAAAACCATATCTGGTTGGTGGCCTGGAACATTTTTTATTTTTCCATATATTGGGAATATATAATCATCATCCCAACTGACGAACTCCATCATTTTTCAGAGGGATAGGTCAACCACCAACCCGGTGGGATAATGGTAATTCTATAAACCATCCCCAATAATAATCCCAACTGACGAACTCCATCATTTTTCAGGTGGGTAGGTCAACCACCAACCAGATAGTTATTTGCGTATCATAAACCATGGTTATTGGAGTTATGAACCAACTTAGCTATACAAAAAGGGGGTTATGAAACCACCAACCCGATATACCCTCTGGTAATTTAACATAGCAATGGAAAATCACCATTTTTCATGGGAAAATCCACTATAACTGGCCATTTTCAATAGCTATGTTAGTTCACCAGAGGGTAATCCCCTTGTTTTTGGTTCCGCCTTTCCACCAGGAAGTGTTCAACATCTCTGGTTTCGTGGCAGCCTTACGAGGCTATGAAGCAGGCCGCCCAAAGTTGGGGGGGCCTCACGGCCGAAAACGCTCGATGCGGCAGCTTCCAGGGTTTTAAACACAGAACTTCCAATATTTTTCACTATTGTTAGTAGTATTCACAGTTTTTTATATTGGAAGTTATGTGTGTTTAAAACCCTGGAAGTAGTATTATTTAACTGTGAATATTATGAAACTATTAATTATTGTTTTATTATTGTTAGTAGTAGTTTTTTTTATATCATTAGTAGTATTCATTTTCAGGATTATTTTTATTACAGTACGTATTTCATATAGTGGTTGCCCACTTACCAACTCAGATTCACCCCCCCAAGTAGTAGCCTTTGATTGGTTGTTTTTTTGACGATAAAAATGTATGTCGTTGTTCCAAGGTTAGCGAAATGATGCAGTATATCATTTGTCCCAAAGCTAAATGTTGCAGGGCAAAACATGGTACTTGAAAGCATTAGGTGTTGTTTCTTTGGATGCTGAAGCAGAGCTGCCACACCAGTTTTGCACCTACTTGATGGTCTGACGGCAGCGTGACGGCGTGACGGTAGCGATAAATTGGCACTTCAGGTGAACGGATCACCAGATTATGGCCGAATTGTAGGTATGGTGGGGATCATAATCTAGCAATCAACTTGGTGTTTATGAATCCGGCATTGATAATGGAATGATAGGGATAGATAGGAATTGTATGATTAGTTCCAAGTTCCATTCATCTGGGTAAATTATAACGACCTCACTGTTCTCCCTCACTGGAATCATGGTTACTAAGGGAAATCATCCCAAAATGGCCTTAATTAATTCAGGTTAGTGAATTATTATAATTTACCCAGATTCATCTTTAGTTTTGCCATGAGTCAGCAATACATGAATGAAATCATGGCTTTGATGCTGTGATGGATCATCTTCCAAGCCCGGGGTAGCTGACCTGGGATCAAATTTCACCCTGAAAATTCAACGGGAATTCTCCAGGATCCAATACATGGAGGTACGTAAACGTACCATATTTCTGGCCATATTTTGGGGGTATATCCCCTTACATAGCCCTTACATAGGGCCTGACATATGGTAGGTACCTCCAATTTGGGTTCCTGGGAGGGTTTAATCATCAACCATGGGGTTTGGCCAACAAAAAAAACTCGGGAGATCAGCGACCAACATATTGGCTGACCAACTAGCGACGGGGTACTAGTTGTGTTGTTGTTTTTTTTTTTTGCGGGGTGCAAGGCAGAAGATATCCTAACCCAGGGTTTATAGGGTGCTATTTCATATGATGGGGGGATTCGATGAACTCCACATCATTTCAAGTCTTGTCGGATGTGGGGTCCCAACTTGGACCTGTTGGAGATGCAGTTGGGGTGACAAAAAGTGGTATACCTTCTGGTAAACATACAAAAGACTATGGACAATCACAATTTTTAATAGGGAAATCAACTATTTCTATGGCCATGTTCAATAGCTATGGGATTAGTTGGCTTCCATAAGATAGGATCACAACATGGTGAACTGGTGCAGGGCCTTACACGGTGCTTGTGGAAAGCGAAGAAGGAGATGAGGACAGGGCCTCCCGATTCCCTAGGGGAATGGTGGGGACCCAACTGGATCAGCTAAGAAAGTCATTGAAATTCGCCAGTAACGATAGTTAATTAAAGGTTGATTATCACATGTATATGTATATATACATATATATACACACTGGTTTAATCATATGTGGGATAGCCTCACTTTTGTGACTTCCTCAGCAGCGTTTTTGTAGCAGCTAGTCTTGGGATGAGCCTCCAAGTAAATAGTAATAGGACGATTATCATGGTGATTTTCCATGGGTATTCAATGGGACTTGAACCATAATGATTTCCACGGTTTCAAAATGGTGATTTTCCATGGCTATTCAATTTTCGTGGTGATTTTCCACGGTTTCAAAACGGGATACCCTCTGGTAAACATACAAAAAACGGAAAATCACCATGCTATCAATGGGTAAATCCACTATTTCGACTGGGCCATTTTCAATAGCTATGTAACAGTCATTACCAGAGGGTAACATGGACATAGAACCCTGGTTGGGTGTTTGGAACATGTCTTCCATATATTGGGAATGTCATCATCCCAACTGACGAACTCATATTTTCAGAGGGGTAGGTCAACCACCAACCAGATATATTATGGGATATAATGGATTGAAAACGGCCATTTAAATTTATAGTGAGTTTTCCCAATCAAATTGTGATTTTCCATAGTTATGTTAGTTTACCAGAGGGTAATCCCATAATTAATATCATATATCCATTATAGACCACTGTATTGTCATATTCCAATCCCCAGAGTTCACATCAATCACCAATATTATGTGTATAAGATCTACAATGTGGGGCCCCTGTGGCCACGAAATCGCTAAGTTGGTTATTCAAAACATCCAATAACTACGGTTTATGATACTTAATAACTATAGTTCATGGGGTTTATAAACCAATTCTGGTTGGTGGTATACCTACCCCTCTGAAAAATCATGGAGTTCGTCACTTGGGATGATGACATTGATGGCATTCCCAACTGAATGGAAAGTCATGAAAAATTCCATGGTTCCAGTCACCACCAACCAGTATCTCATTAACTATCATTAACCATCATTTATTTGGATGATAAGATCTACAATCCCTTGTTTTTGGAGGATCACAGCAAGCTTTGGAAGTGCTTTTAGAAAGAATCCCTGGCTGCCAAAGACGCTGAAAAGAAAATAAATCCCGTAAGTTGATTGGATGAAAGGCGCGGGATGAAGGCGCCCGGCGTCAGGTGGCGTGGCAGAAAGCCACCAGAGCCACCGAAGTATGACAATCCAAGGGATTTGAGAAGTTTCCCAGGATGGGAAAGAAAAATCCAGCTATGGAAAAAAAAACGGGTAATGATGTGGCTCCGGCCGAAAAAAAAAGGCTGCCCTTTACCTGCTGGAGTCCCTGACGGAGTTATCTATCCACTTTGCCGGAACACCATGAAGTAATGATTGGAGCCGTCATTGGGATTGAGATGAATGTCTTTGCCATATATTTGCTGTGATCCGTGCATGAGCCCCTTGGTAAAATCCAGCATTTGGGAAATCGGGAACATGTGGAAATGTGGTCAACCAAAACAGCAAATCCCTGGTCGAAAATCCATGCCACAACGGATGTGAAAGCGAAGATGGCCATGTTTGATTCGTTGAATTCACCTTAAAAATCCTTTCAAAACATCAAGCAGTAGTTGGTTAGATCTGGGTAAATTGTAATGACCTCACTGTCTTCCCTCACTGGGAATGGTGGTTCGTAGGGGTGACTATCCCCTTTTATGACCGCAAGTTTCAGGTTAGTGAATTAATATAATTTACCCAGGTTAGATGGATATGATAGAACTCGTTATGTACAATAAATTGAACAGCTGCAGGTAGCCAACAAGCACGTGATATCTCTGATCTCTCTGTGCGTCTAGATCCGCGGGAACGGTTTCTTCTATGAGTATATATTCAATTTATTCCAAGCCGGGATCAAACTGAGCAAACGCGCGAACAGAACAAAATGTTGGACAGAATGTTGCAGCTGGGAGTTTAGGACCAAACCAACCAGCTTTTGAATCTCGTGTGTTGCAGTCATGGGAAGCACTTGAAAGGAGACTTGCAGGAAACAAGGACTGTATCTGAAACTCAAAGACCACAGCAGTTTGGGGAACAGTATGTTGGGGATGGTGACTCCAGTTTTCACACACTATGGAGTCCTTGCTACGCAGAAACTATGACAGTGATCGTCCATCCAAAGCCTTCATGGGAGTCTGACAGGCACTGAGCTTAGTCATGTGTAGCAACTTACCCATTGTTTGGGTGTCCTTCTCGTATATCCAATGATAGTTGTATATATTGGATTGATTGGATTGATGAGCAGTTAAGTTTCCCCGAGCTTCTTAAGTTGGTAAGCATGGAATCCCTTCCTTTGCTTTGTTATTGATGTGCATCCCCGAAATGCGATAGCCGCTGAAATCACCCAGTTCTACATTATTCAAAATCATTTGCCTATATCTACCTATTAAAACTGGTAATGTTCCATAGCTACATTAGATATATTAGATGACCAGAGGGATCCAGATAGAATAGCCGTCTGGGCGGAAGTTGGGGCTCCAGAAGTTGGGAGATGGGGCCCCGGCTGAAGTTCTTTGGTTATACATATTTGCACAAGGTGGTGCCTCCGTTCGATAGCTAAGTTGGTGAACACAACTCCAATATAACTATGGTTTATAGGTGATATGTCTATAGTTCATGTGCTTATAACAAATTTATAACTGGGGGGCACCACCTTGTACATCCACTCACCGGAACTGCACCGGCAAGTGGTAGCTGGTTTAGATATGATTCTATTTTCCACCATAGAAATGGGAGATGTTCAAGCACCAACCGGGTTCCAGGATGACATTGTGAAGGTTTATCCTCATTCAAAAATGGGGCATATTGACAAATTTTCTCCACCTAAACACCGAGATAAATTTAACGACCTCACTGCGACATCATGGGGATGCTGGTTCAAAAAAATGGTCCATGATCCTGAAATTGCCTTACTGGAAAGAGATGAGCACATATTCTAGTTACTAGGTCAAGTCTAGTTATGATGAATGATGATGAATGATGATGAATGATGATTAATGATGATGAATGATGATTAATGATGATTAATGATGATGACTAGGTCAATCTTAGATGGGTAGTTACTAATCCTAATTAGTCTTTTGGTATCAATGGGATCATCTACTACGTTCACCAGCTAAAAAAATGCTGTTTTGCAAGGTATCTAAGATTGGCCATGGTTATGTAAACCAAGATAAACATTATCAGCCTGAAATAGCAAATATATGTTTCAGGCTGAGGATGTTCTAAGACATGTGTTTTTCTCTTACAAAAATTGAAGCCCCCAAGCTAAACTAGAAAACTTGTTGATTAATTGATTGTCATTTTTGGGAATATCATAACCCTGAGGGATATCCCCATTATATCCATATGTGTGTCTCTTAAAATGTGGGCATAATTACCCGGCAAACTGGCTGTTTCAATAAGTTTAAATAGGGATAATCATGATTATCATCAACGGCTTTTTTGGGGTGCCGGGTTCAATTTCAGACGTCACGTTGCCACGCTGCCTTTTGCGGGCGCCCCATTTTCGGTCAGCCGCAGGTGAAGATCGCCACAATGAGCCGTGGCCGCCGCAACATGCTCTTCATCTTCGTCGCCTTTCCGAGGTGCCATGACATGCCCGTCATGCCCGTCATCCCGAGTTCGTCGTCATGGTATACTTGTGCTGGTTTCAGAAAAAACACATTAACCAATAATAAATCCAAGAATAATTATAAAACATATTAAAACCAATGATCATAATGATCGACAGTATTAATAAACAATGCCATGATAACACCAATGATGTCGACTCGTAAGTATTGTTTTTTTGGGACCAATGGCCATTTTGTTCAGGTACCGATTTTAAATGGAGCTATCATTTTGTTCAGACATATGTAAGGGCTATGTAACAGTACTTCCATTTTAGGGTCATTACATGTCAATGTGACAACCCAAACAACAACCCGTAAGTTTTTTTTTTTTTTCCGGGGCGTTGCCTTCAAATTCAAAACCTCTAAAGCCCTCAAATAAGCTCAGGGGCATGTATACTTTCTATAGTGACGCTTTGGGACATTTATTACCTGATTTTTTCCCAGGGTAGCACGCAAAATGCGATAACCATTCAGGGGGGTAAAATGGCCCTGTTAGTTCCCGCCATCAGCGGTTGGAACTCCCAGGGTAGCACTGGTTCGGAGGCGTTCCGGTGCCTTGACATTTCATTCTTCAGCACGGCCAAGTTCGAATCCGAATCCCATGGCGGGATTTCAGAATGGCGATAGTAAGCAAGAATCGATAAGAATCGATGGATCCGAAATACCCTCCGCTCCGCTTGGATGGAAAGGATTCGGTTGATATCATATGATATATATTACCATCTGGTTATTTCACATAGCCATAGAAAATCACCATTTTTAAGAACGGTAAACCATCTATTTCTATGGGCCATCTATACCATGGCTATGTTCCATTTTCCATGGCAAACTGTTAGTCATAACCAGGTTGGGTATATGATCTATGTGGTCTAGAACCTCGGTAACTCTCGCAATAGATGTGATAGCATTTAGTTTGATAAGATGTGATACCATTTCAATCTATATTACTGGGTAAATTATAACGACCTCACTGCGACCTCACTGGAATCATGGTTAATAAGGGAAATCATCCCCAAATGGCCTTAATTCAGGTTAGTGAAATATTATAATTTACCCAGATATTAGGAATGGGAGATGTTCAAGACATATCATTAACCCCATCATGGGATTTAACCATGAACAAATAGGGATTTATATAATGGGATATATCCTCCGCATTCGCTCCTTGGCGTGCTTGAAAACCAGCCATAGTTTGACGGGGATTACCCATGTTTTGATGACACCTGAGGGTAAGTGATCAGGTATCAATTCCAATTCATGAGAATCACATCCAAGTGTTGATACCCTCTGGTAAACTAACATAGCTATTGAAAATGGCCATTTATAGTGAGTTTTCTCATTAAAAATAGTGATTTTCCATAGCTATGTTAAATTACCAGAGGGTACCCGATTCATCCAAATTAAAAGTACTAAAAACCCTTGGTGCTCAATACCGTGTTTTCAACTACCCTTATCTACCCTTTATATGTTGGGGATGATCATACTCAATTATGGGAATCCCCTTCTTAGCCAGCCAGTATTTTATGGAATGATGCTGCGGGTTTTGCACACATCTTATTTGTCACTGGAAATATCATGGTTTTGGCTACCCCGATATAATTGACAAGCTAGGTGTTCATGATTTTTTGGTTCACATGATTTTTGTTCTCAACTTTACTGCTTGAAATCGAAGTGTCAAACATGTTTCTTCGTTAATTCATACTAATTCTCACTTTTCCAGAAATCTAAGGCCTTTTATGATCCCACTATAGTCCCAGTGGTTCATATTTACCAATCGTTGCCACCAACGGTGCAAGATTTCGCCATCGATGCCTTGAAATCCCATGGATTTTCCCATATTGATTACAGGTGTAGTTACCAATAGTTAGCGCCTGTAATCGATATGGGAAAAACCATGGTATTACATTACAATTACATTACAAAATTATGCTTGAATCCATTATCACTATTTTGATCTCCCATGATAAGTCAAAATATATTCATTGATAAGCCAACAATGATATAGTATCAGTTGATGTGGGTACTACGGCCAGGCGCTGTGTGTTGCCCGGAAGGTTCAAATGGCGTTTAAACACTATGTTTGAACATCATCCTTCAACATGCTCAAACACCTGCGCAGGGCCAGTGTTTGAGATTTCCCAGACGACGAACCCTAAACCCTAAAACCCTAAACCACCCTAGGCCCTAAGCCCTAAAAACCCAAACCCGAAAATCCCAAACCCGAAAACCCTAAAACCTAGGCTCTGAAAACTTTGAATCCTAAACTGGAAAACACTGCGCATACGCAGTATTTTCTGCAATCTCTATCATATATTTAACAGCACGACATTCTCAATGTTAGTGTCTGGGCAACACACGGCGTCTGTGGGTACTATTACTATTTATTATCAGTTTGGTAATATACTATTTTCCTATTAGTACTATACTATTTACTATTTACTACTACTATTATTGCTATTTACCATTACTATTACCCTCTGGTTATTTAACAGGTGGTAATAGTTTATAGAGTTATTGGTGTGGAATTCCCTATTCTAACATATAGCGTAAAAATTGTATTATATCCAGTATATATAATTAATAGGAAAATCCAATATAATAGTTACTATTACCCAGATGCTCCATTTATGGCATATTTACCTACATTTATACCCTAAAAATTGCCCAAATGTAGGCAAATATTCCATACATGGAGCATCTGGCTTACTATGATTACTATTTTCCCACTGATATCCCATGTTCCACTGAATTTCTCTCCTGTGCCACAGGTTGCTGGTGGCTTTCAGCCTCATGGACACAGGCGGCGCGCCTGTGGCGGCGCCTCTCGAAAAAGAGAACGAAGGGATAGAACGAATCACAGATTTACAGGGATTGCATAGGGATTTAATGGGATTCAATGGGTGTGTCTGAAATGCCGTCTACCCGTCAAGATCATTTTCTTCAATACATGGCAAATAAATACTGATAAACCACTGGGTTACATGGCAGATTTCAGCCAGGGACCGGCTGATGGCACCCCTATTCCCCGCCCAGCCAGGCACGCGATACTTGGCCAACACCCTCGCGTTGGAAGATTTGCAACTTGGCGAGAAACGGAACTCGAGAAACGGAACTCATCCAGTCAAAATGGCCAACAAAAGCCAATCATAAAAGGAATGTATATGATGGGGTTATCATGATGTATTTATATTTAAGATATAAATATATGACATCTAATTAAACTATACCACCAGTTTGATATGACATGTGGGTTTGTCTGAAATTGCGGACTTACACATTAGTTATGGCCAGTTTAACAGAGAAAACAATGATCACCCATGTGCTGTGGGGGTACCGATGCTCCAAGATTGATGGTTAAAAAATCAGCATGATCAATTTTCTGGGTCCATTGGTGTTTCCTTTCTTGAAGTCTTGAACCAAACAGCAACTGGTTGGTGGTTTGGAACATGTTTTTTTAATGAATTTCCATATATTGGGAATGTCATCATCCCAACTGACTAATATTTTTTCAGGGGGTAGGTCAACCACCAACCAGGCAAAAAGTTCACATCTTCTGCTAAGACCGCTAATGAAACGGTGAAGATGAGTGATTCTGTGAATTTTCGCCATGACTTGCTTAGCAAACAGATGTTTCTTTCTATTGGTTTCATGATAAGATTACAAGGTGGTGCCCCAGTTATAAATAGGTTAGAATCCCCATGAAAACTAATTCAATATCTCACCAACTTAACCATAGTGAAATTGGACTTATTTGCACCAACTTAGCTATGAAAAATCAGTTCACAATTCTAATTCTATTCAACTTCATGTTTCAATATATTTTTCCTGGTTGAATCACTTAAGCTATCATTAAAAGCCACATTTTTCCTGGTTGAATCACCATTTTCCTATGGTTTCTACCGTCAACGGGGACACCACCTTGTAGATTGGATGACCCAAACTTCTGCCGCGATCCTGTGGGATTCTCCGTAGTTTTTTTCGGTCCTGTGGGATGTCCTAGGCATGTGGGAAACGCCATTTCTCAACCTCGGATCCCGCATCAACTCCACATATACATATATATATATGTCCTACTTGGTGGCTCATCCCACGAATCGTAAGTGGGTTATAACCTCAGTGATTGAAGTGGATTAATCCTACTTATCCCATTTATAACTGGGGTTATAACCCACTTACTAAGTGGGATGAGCCACCAAGTAGTTGGTGATTTGGAACGTTGATTCTATTTGTCCATATCTTGTGTTTTTTTTCGAAAAAAAAAACCTAAGAATCCCAACTGACCAAATATTTTTCAGAGTGGTAGAAACCACCAATTAGACATGTATGTATATATATAATATTGAAAGATATATATATGTATACATATGGATAGATATCTTCATATTGTTGGGGACTCCACATATGTGTATATATACATATATGTATACATATTTGGGTAAATTATAACGACCTCACTGTTCTCCCTCACTGGAATCATGGTTAGTAATAAAATCATCCCCAAATGACCTTAATTCAGATTAGTGAAATATTATAATTTACCCATATATCAATGTATGACCATTATATAAAATCTATTGATATAGTTATATTATAAAATATATCAATATATTCCTACAGAAATCAACAGAAGATATTTGGGATCATCGTTGATGAACTGTGGATCCCCAAAATCGGAACAGCAGAAGGTGACCACCAGGCCATGCTTGTTTACAAGAGCGTACTTTACGTTGACCGGGAACCAATCCATTTGATGGCACTCCAAAATAGGCCTCCGCGCAGATCTACATACAGACCCACATTTGATAGGCAGTAGAAACCATATAGAATCACCACATGAGCCTATATATGTCCATATAAACCCTGAATGTTGGTGTTAGCTATGTTGGTGTTCAATTTATATTTCACTGTTGTGCTTGTGGTGTATGTATGTACATATATATATAATCTGGTGGGTGGTTTGGAACATTTTTCCATTCAGTTGGGAAGAATAGTCCCAACTGACTTTCACATTTTTCAGAGGGGTTCAAACCACCAATTAGACGTATATATATATATATATAATATTGAAACATATATATATATAAATACATATTTGGGTAAATTATAACTCATTGTTTTCCCTCGCTGGAATCATGGTATAGTTGGTATTTTCAACCCAACAGGCGAAACTGGGAGCGGGGGTGGGGACGAACCCACATGTTGTAGGGATGGCAGTGATATGATCAACCCATAGATAGGTAGATAGGTAGGTAGATAGATGGAAAGATGGAAACATAGATACATATGGATACATATGGATACAGATAGATACATATATAGATACATATAGATACATTTAGATACATGTAGATACATATAGATACATATAGATACATGTAGATACATATGGATACATATGGATACATATAGATACATGTAGATACATATGGATACATATGGATACAGATAGATACATATATAGATACATATAGATACATATAGATACATGTAGATACATATGGATACATATAGATACATGTAAATACATATGGATACATATGGATACATATATAGATACATATAGATACATTTAGATACATGTAGATACATATAGATACATATAGATACATGTAGATACATATGGATACATATGGATACATATAGATACATGTAGATACATATGGATACATATGGATACAGATAGATACATATATAGATACATATAGATACATGTAGATACATATGGATACATATGGATACATATAGATACATGTAGATACATATGGATACATTTGGATACATATATAGATACATATGGATACATATATAGATACATATGGATACATATATAGATACATATGGATACATATGGATACATATAGATACATGTAGATACATATGGATACATATGGATACAGATAGATACATATATAGATACATATAGATACATACAGATACATGTAGATACATATGGATACATATGGATACATATAGATACATATATAGATACATATAGATACATATAGATACATGTAGATACATATGGATACATATAGATACATGTAAATACATATGGATACATATGGATACATATATAGATACATATGGATACATATATAGATACATATGGATACATATATAGATACATATGGATACATATGGATACAAATGGATACATAGATTAAATACATACGCAGATACATAGATACTTATAGATACATATGGATACATAAATTTGATACATACGCAGATACATTTAGATATATATATATATTGATAGATCTGGATACATATAGATACTCATAGATACTCATAGATACGCATAGATATGTAGATACATGGATACATAGATCAATGGGAATTCCAGGATCCTAAAATGGAGGTACGTTAGTACCATATTTCTGGCCATATGTTGGGCATATTCCCTTACACAGGCCTGAAAAATAGGCCAAACATATATGGAATCGGTAGCTCCAATCAATCGGTTCCTGAGTCATGACCATTGAATTACATACATAGAGTACATAGATTAGATACATATCTGCAGACACATATGCAGACACATATGCAGATAAATATAGATACATATAGATACATATAGATACATATAGATACATATAGATACATATAGATACATATAGATACATATAGATACATATAGATACATATAGATACATACAGATACACATAGATACATAGAAACCATCATAAATCATTTTAAGCTCCATATAAGCCACTTCATCGATCTGATCAAGCTGGCAGGATTCTGAACGCAGTGGCTTTAGCCTTCATTCTGGTCCCTCGGTGAACTCGGGAACGGCGCTGTTTGGCGGAAGCGGAAACATGGGGAACTTCACCAGGAAACATGGCGGGATTTCGAATCGGAATAATGTAGGATAGCCGGATAGTGATGATAAGATATGATAAGCACATAGATGATGATGGTGATTGCTGATTGATGCTTACCCTCTGGTAAACGTAAACAGTTTGCTATTGAAAATTGCTATTTAGTTCGTTGATTTACCCATGAAAAATGGTGATTTTCCCTAGTGATGCAAACGTTTACCAGAGGGTAAGATTACAAGGTGGTACCCCCTAGTTATGTTAGTTGCTTTATAGTCCCCATGAGAACTAGTTCGATGTATCACCAACAAAAACCATACCCAGATGCTCCATGTATGGAATATTTACCTACATTTTTGCCCTTCTTGGGGTAAATGTAGGCAAATATTCCATACATGGAGCATCTGGGATATAGTGAAATTGGAGTTATCTAGGCACCGTAGCGAGCTATCTTGGCCACGGGGGCCCCTTTTTTTGTGCCCAATGGGCTACGATGAAAAATTCCCCCATCGTGGTTCCGGGATGGTCATGATGGTGGTGAATCCCACCAAAACTTCAACGGTGATATCGTTTTTTAACACCCATTGGTTGGTTGATAAATAGAGGGCTTTGAAGGTTTACCTCTTTAACAGGTACATAGGTACAGGGACAGTAAATGATGATGGTATACCAGCTCCCGGCCCAAAGCTATTTTTACCAAAAGGACATTATTGTTCTTTTGACGGTCGCCATATGATTTTTTGGAGATGTTCCACATTTAATGGGTGTCAAAATGTGTCAAATACTTATACATAGAGTTACAATGTGAGGCCCTCCAACGATAGCTGAGTTGACTTACAATTTGGTGAATTCTATAGTTTATGCATCCTGGGGTTTATGCATCCTGGGTGGTATCCAATTGCTGTGATGAAGAAGGGTTGGTATGTAGATCACTGGCAAAGTTACCCGAAGCTACATGTGACTCAGCGGCAGCTACACCTTTGCCCAGCTTTTTCAGGGATGGCAAAGTTTGCACCCGGACAGAACCTTGGGTGTGTATTTGCAGATGTGAATATAGCGGATGGAACGTCAGGACAGACTTGCTACATTGCTATTTCGCAAGTGAAGACAAGAGAGAACATCTCTTTGCTGCGCTCATTTCCGCGGAGCATGTTTTGCAAAGAGAATGGACGAACTCCAGAGCTATTGTTGCAGCATCTGAGAAGGGAGGAGATCGATTGGGACAAACACCAAACACAATGATTGGAGGCCTCACCTTGTCAATGGGAATTCCAGGATCCTAAAATGGAGGTACCTACTATAAGACCTCTATAAGACCTATGTAAACCCCCCAAAATATGGCCTTACATGGTATAGTACCTCCATTTTAGGATCCTGGAATTCCCATTGACCTTGTACCCATCAGCTCCTGCTTCGTGGAACAACAAACCCATAAGGTGGCTGGCTGGGAAATCCTCTAAAAGTGGAGGTTTAGTTCGCTGGGAAATCATGGAAGGAAATGGAGGATTTTCCAGCACGCCAAGTCTGATTATCAAAGGGAATGCACATGTTGATTTGTGAGATTAATTAGCGCAGACTGGTTGCAGACATTGCTGCCATCTTCATCTACCATCAGAGCTCATAGCCTGGTAAATTCTGACTGCACCCTTGAACCCCTGCTGCAAATGGCTTTAGTTTATGAACTGGCTGGAAAGTGCCCTAAAATGCAAAAGGCTTCAATTCAATGAAGCTTATCCACTCATGTCCATTCAATCCATTCATTATTAGCATTAGTTTGAGGATCACTACATATGTTTGTTCCATTTTATTCCTATTCACACTACCCCAACCTGGAAAATTGCTGCCGTGCCCCGATTTTTTTGATATGGGGGGCCTGAATTTTAACACCAGAGGCATTGAAGAATGGTATTGAAGTATGATGATTGTACCCTCTAGTAAACTAACGTAGCTATAGAAAATCACCATTATCAATGGGTAAATCAACTGTTTCTATGGCAGTTTCAATAGCTATGTTAAATTACCGGAGGGTATAATGATCTTGCCACCATTGGAAAAAGGCCGTCTTTGGGTGCCCATGGTCGGGTTTTGTTTGACATTCAAGGGTTGTACGCTGTGGTGAAATCTTTCTCTTCTTGGTCACGATCCCTGTGATACCCGCGGACATGGATGTTGGCCTTTGCCAGGCACCTGAAATCAAAGAACTCCTGTGACTAATGGACATACAAAAGTCATGCACATGGCATTTTCCATGGCATGTTCTGTGGTACTCTCTGGTAAAGGTTTACATAGCTGTGGAAAATGTCCAATTAGTTCGTTGATCTACCTAAAAGAGAGTGATTTTTCAGTTTGCAAACTATCAACGTTGGAGGCGAATCCATCCATCTTAGTCCCATTAATCCCTATATAAAAGGGTGATTTTCCATAGAAAACTGTAAATGTTTACCGGAGGGTAAACCATCCATCAACCATCCATCAACCATCCCCAGTCGTCGCAGGACCTGGATGAACTGATTGAATCGGCGTTTGCACCCCGCAGGCGCTGGAATGATTTGTGTCAAAACGTGGGCCCCCGTTGACGGCCACGATTTATCGCTTTCAGTTGGTGTGAAGAACTCCAATTTTTCTATGGTATATGATACGCAAATAACGAACTAGTATTCATGGGGTTTATAAACCAATTTATAACTGGGGGGGCCCACATTGGAATTTTGTTGGATGATTAATAACCTGCTGAGTCCGTCAACTGGGCCGTCGCATTCATGATTGGGTCAAGTTATAGAAGTCCGCTGCCATCAGTTTTCATTGCTTCACCAACGTGCATTGGTTGAAGTTTGATTCCCTTGATTCTTGTTGGTCAGAACAGGTTCTATGGTTTTTTGTTATGGAAAAATTGGGAAAATCCATGAAATTGGCTTTTATGGAAAAATCCCCATTTTCCAAGGGATTTTCATAAGAATTTGTCCCATGTTCCCATGGATTTTCAGGATTTTCCACCTCCAAAAAGCCCAAAGAAGCAATGGGTACCGGCCAAAGCCCAGGGCGCGTTTCGTCTTGGATGAGCTTCATGCCATGCCCATTCCGAGGATACGCATCCCTTGTCTTCTGGAGGAATTCCTGGGTGGTGCCTTCCGTTGACGATAGATACCATAGGAAAATGGTGATTCAACCAGGAAAAATGTGGCTTTTAGTGATAGCTTAGGTGATTCAACCAGGAAAATATATATGGAAACATGAAGTTGAATAGAATTTTGAGCTGATTTTTCATAGCTCAGTTGGCGCAGAGAAGTCCAATGTCTCTATGGTTTATAGGTAATATATCTATACTAGGTCAATCTTGGATGGGTAAAAACAAATCCTAACTAGTCTTTTGGTATCAAGCGGATTACCCTCTGGTCATTTCACATAACTATTGGAAATCATCATTTTTCATGGGTAAATCAGCTATTTCGACTGGGCCATTTTCAATAGTTACGTAAACGTTTACCAGAGGATATATCCGATAATATATCCAGTATACCACCATATTGTCATATTCTAATCCCCATTAGTTCCCAATGGGATTATCTACTAACCAGCTAAGGAATGAGTTTTTCCCCACCTGCCAGGTGAGGGTTGTTAGATTTTATCAGAGTTGTTCTTCTGCTCCTCCTCCTTCTCGTCCACCACCTCTGCCTCCACTTCCATGTCCACTTCCGCCTTGCCAACTCTTCGCCAAGCTCTTCGCCAAGCTCTTCGCCAAGCTCTTCGCCAACTTCCGCGCGCAGTGGGCACTGCTGGACCTCAACTGCCGGCTTCCGATCTGAGTGGGCACGGCTGGACCTCAACCGCAAGGGTCTGAGCGCAGTGGGCACCGCTGGACCTCAACCTGGGACCTCCGGAGCTCCGTGTGCAACGCTGGACCTCAACCTGGGACCCTCCGAGCTCAGTGAGCACCGCTGGACCTCAACCTGGGACCCTCCGAGCTCAGTGAGCACCGCTGGACCTCAACGGCCAGATAGAATGCCAGAAGATATGCCGGATAGAACGCCAGATAGAATGTCAGAAAGAATGCCAGAAGATATGCCGGATAAAGTGCCAGAATGTTTGCCAGATAGAATGCCAGAAGATATGCCAGATAGGATGTCAGAAGATATGCCAGATAGAACGCCAGATAGAATGTCAGAAAGAATGCCAGAAGATATGCCAGAAGATATGCCAGGTAGAATGCCAGAAGATATGCCAGATAGAATGCCAGATAGAATGCCAGAAGATATGTCAGATAGAATGCCAGAAGATTTGCCAGTAACAAAACGTATAAATGTCATGGTGGGGATGACTTGAAGTAAAGTAATTTTTGCAGGGTACATCAGTTTGGCCATGATAATTTTGGGACTTTGGGGATTTCATGTGGGTTTTTAACAAGGCCATGTTTACCACCCATGACGAACGGTAGCCATACCACCTATAAAAATGGTGATGACTGGGAGATGGTTTATGGCATTGTTTTACCCATATTATCGAAGGAAGTTTAGAAGTCAAACTTCCGACAATATGGAGAGATGAAAAGCAGAGCAGGGCAGAGGCAGAGAGAAGAGGAAGATTAGAAGAGAGAAGATCAGAAGAGAAAGAGTAAGAAGACAGAAGATGCAGATGCTCGAAAAGGTAGGAAAGTCGCGAAACACCGTGTTTTTCCAATGATTTGTGGCTCCGGAGGGTCGAAAAGTAGGCTCGCTAAAGCGGCGGGTGCGGAGCCAGCTGGCCAGACGAGAGATGAAAAATTGCACGCCGTTGTGGTGCGAAGCACATTTCGAAGTCAAAATGTACAAAACACACCATTCTCGGACCACTTTTGGAAGTTGCGATGTCGAAAAAGTGCACGCCGTTGTGGCGCGAAGCACATTTCGAAGTCAAAATGTACAAAACACTCAGGTCGGACCACTTTTGGAAGTTGCGATGTCAAAAAAGTGCACGCCGTTGTGGCGCGAAGCACATTTCCAAGTCAAAATGTACAAAACACCTCAGCGTCGGACCACTTTTGGAAGTTGTGATGTCGAAAAAGTGCACGCCGTTGTGGCGCGAAGCACATTTCCAAGTCAAAATGTACAAAACACCAGGGGTTCGGACCACTTTTGGAGGTTGCGATGTCGAAAAAGTGCACGCCGTTGTGGCGCGAAGCACATTTCCAAGTCAAAAGTGTTAAAAACTGACGGTCTCGGACCACTTTTGGAGGTTCAGATGTCGAAAAAGTGTCGAAAAAGTGCACGCCGTTGTGGCGCGAAGCACATTTGGAAGTCAAAAGTGTAAAAAAACTGAGGGTTTTGAGCCTTTTTTGACGTGCTGATGTCGAAAAAGTAGACACTGATTAACTTAACTAACTTGACTAACTTGAGTAACTTCACTAACTTAACTACCCTAACTTCGACGACAACAGCAACAACAACAACAACGACAACAACAACAACAACAACAACTACAATAGATCGATAGATGGAGAGATAGATAGATAGATAGATAGATAGACAGGCAGGCACGCAGATAGACACCACTGCACTACATTACACTACCTTCCATTACACTTCACTACATTACACTACACTACACTCCACTACACTACAATTACAACTGCAACTGCACAACTACACTCCACTACACTACACTACACTGCACTCAATTACACTCAATTACACTACATTACATTACATTACACTACACTCCACTACACTACATTACACTACACTACTCCCACTACACTTCACTACATTACACTACACGACACTCCACAACACTACAACTACACCTACACAACTACACTCCACTACACTCCACTACACTACATCCCACTACCCTACACTACACTACAACTACCCAACTACATTCCACCACACTCCACCGCACTAAATTACACTACACTACAGTGCATGACACTACACTACACTCCACTACACTACTTTCCACTACACTAGTACACTACACTACCTTCCACTACACTTCACTACATTACACTACACTACACTCAACTACACTACAACTACAACTACAACTACACTCCACTAAACTCCACTACACTAATTTACACTACGCTAAATTACACTACACTACACTACATTACACTGCACTACATTACATTCCACTACACTCCACTACACTACACTACAGTACACTACACTGCATTAGACTGGATGACACTGCACCATAGATAGACAGATAGACAGATGAAAGAGAGAGAAAGAGAGAGAAAGAGAGATAGATAGATAGATCGATAGCTGGATAGATACATAGAAAATAGATAGGTAGGTAGGTAGATAGGCAGAGAAAGAGAGAGAAATAGTGAGAGAGATCAAGCACCTTTCGGTCCATCAGTGGATTCGCTCTGCCATCCCTGATTCACAACAACCAATCTCTCCTATAGGTTTCCTATTTTTGAAACTTCCGCCACCGCCTTGTGCGGTACTACTGGTATGGAACTGAATGGATGTTGTCTAATGGCATTTAATAGGGATTGAACTGAATGACATTTAATGTGAGTTACAATGGTGACTCGATGATTGCAATGAAGAATCGCTTCCCTATGAGCCTACTGCTCAAGATTAGGAGAATGAACTCAATGAAAAATGGCCTCTATTTGATCGTACAACTTCTCGGCTGCATGCTTGGCTGGCCAAGAAACGTGAAGAGCGCAATCAAAAAAAAACTCTAGAATATGTGGCTAAGATGGCAAGTGCCACATTGCTTGCAACTGGAGGGCCAAAGCCATCTTCGATGACTCTGTCCAGATTTGCAAGGAGTGTCTTGATTGGAATATTGCAGTATATCCAATCAACACCCACCACCAGAGACATGCATGGATTGGAGGTGGGTTTGACACCTTTGCAGATGCAGTGGATGCCTACCTCAAGCACAATCCACTCAAAGTGTCCTGCAGAGAGCTATAAAGTGGCAGGGTTGGCATCCCCCTGGTGATAGTGATGATGGTGATGATCGTGGAGTCAAGCGACGTCTTTGCGAGACGGAGGATCACAGTCGGCAAGAGGATGACTGGCAAGACGAGGATGACTGGCAAGACAAGGATACTGGGATTTAGCTAGCTAAGTTAGGGAACATAACTTGGTGATAGGGCGGGGTGCGGATTGACGATTCATCAAACATGTGTTTACATACTGTCATCGAGCAGTCGAACATCTAATCTGCTGGAATTTAACTTTTTATCTAGAATGTGGGCCCCCCAGTTCTAAGTTGGTTTACAAACCCCATGAATATCCATGAACACTATAGTTATTTGCGTATCATAAACCTTAGCTATTGGAGTTATTCGCATGAACTTAGCGATTTCGTTTATGGGGGGCCCACATTGTATGGCCATGGCATAGTACGAGCAATGCCCAGTTGAATGCAACAAAAAACCCAAGCGACTGGTGTCTGGTAAACATCGCCACGCGAAGCGCACAGGATCTATGGCCGATAGCACGGTAAATCACAACAGTTTCAATAGGTAAATCAGATGTGTAAATGTGCCATGTTCTATACCTGTATATACCTACTGTGGATAGTGGTGAAGTCCAGCAACAGTTGGTACCCTCTGGTAATGACTGTTACATAGCTATTGAAAATGGCAAATAGAAATAGTTGATTTACTGAACTTAAAGATGGTTATTTTCCAGTTCGCAAACTGTAAACGTTGACCAGGCCGGGTAACCATTCGGTAACTATGATGCAAAATTTATGGGATTTTCATGGGATTTTGCCACCATCCACAGTACTTGGTGGCTCATCCCAGGAATCGTAAGTGGGTTACAACCACAGTGACTTACATGGGATAAGTAGGGTTAATCCACTTCAATCACTGTGGTTATAACCCACAACCACGATTTTTGGGTAGTTCGCCATCCACAGGCCATGTTATCCAACCAAGGGTTCCACTGGCGAGAACATTAATGTGGACCTTGGTTTTTCAACAGAAGTTTTTCACGGAGCCAAATTTGGCCCCAAATCATGGTTCATCATGATTAGTTGACGTGACATTATACATGATATAATCGAAGGAAGTTTAGAAGTCAAACTTCCGACAATATGGAGAGATGAAAAGCAGAGCAGGGAAGAGGCATAGAGAAGACAAAGATT